TATAGCTGGCTGAAAATCACATTCCGGTCACGTTGTTATCCTCCCTCTCTCTTTTTGTTTCGAAAATACGATTTCTTGTTAGGGCGATTGATTTACGTGCCGTTCGTTGCGTTTACGCGTAAAGGTAACGAGCAAATCGCGTACCGTTGAAAAATGTCCAGCCCCTCTATCGTGAAACATAACTTTGTGTTTATCGGCGCGGAATGTACTTCATGTTTTTTGTTTCAATGCTCTCCGCAAACTGCACTGTGTTTCGTCCGACGACCAGTGCGTAGCGTAGCGTAAAATTCACACTTGGCCACGCAAAGAGTTCGCGCGAGTTTATCGAGGAGACAAAAAATTCGCTTTTCTCGGAGAAAAACACACGCGCCCTGACCAATTAATGAACGTCGACAAAAGACCCGGTCGTTCGTGACAAAGGAGGTGATTATTGCTCGGGCGCAGGAGGGGGGGTAGTGATTTTTTTTCTCGTTTTCCCCGAGGCGCAGTGGCACCGCTGCCGCCCTGTCGACCGTAAACAGGCAGCGCACGTGAAAAGCGAGTCGCGAAGAAAAGGGGCAGCTACTTATTCAAGCCCACATGCATAGCATTCGCGTCTGAATGTGAGAGGGCGAGAGCGCATTGGGGGGTCGTGGGATTTATAGTGGCAAAAATTTACGGCTTCAATTTCGTTCTCGTCAGCGTGCGCACTGTCGGAGGGCCCGACGCGCATAATCGTTTGCCTCGTCGAGCACTGCCGATTAATTAATCCTGACACAGTTTCTCCCGCAAACAATGAGCGTTCAACCCGTCATTAAAAGATGAGAGAGAGAGAGAGAAAGCTCACGAGCGTTGCGCCTTAATTTTCCTGCGCTTTGTGTGCTTTTTCAATGCACGCGCCGATAGATTGACGAGAGAAAGAGTGGGGAGGGGGAAGAGAGAGATAGAGAGAGAGAGCAAACGATCGCAGCCAGGCTGCATCTCTTTTTCCAGCATAGCTATAGGGGAGGGATATAGACGTCCAGTCAAGTGTAAGCGCGCGATAATGTTAATTTTCGCGAGGACAAAAGCCCCACGCAAACGCCAGACTCGATAAAGCCGCGCACGCGTGAGTGTGTGTATAAATGTGGATGCGAGAGAGAAGGTTAGCGTTCAACTTTGTCTGTGGTTTGCCGTGAAACTGCATCATGTGTGCGCCGCCGGAGATGGACGTCGGAGCGTGGGCGATTTGCTCACGTTGAATTTAATCCGGTTTTCACCGAGGGTTACTTATTCAAGATTGTGCCTTCGCTTAGAAATGTGCGTATACATATACGTTTGGGGGACTTTCATTTGTTACCAGTGATTTTTTATAAAAGCTTTTGTTTGCATTCTTCCTTTATCAGTTATAATACATTTGTTGACCTCTTTGTGACATCTATTCACTAACATATGTCAAATTAAAAACGTAGTCTTTGAATTCAAATCGGAAAATCTACGATTGTCTTCCAATAATTATATTCAAATAAGGGTATAAAATCCTTCTTGCTCCTCAAATCCCATTAAGATCCAATTCTTTGTAATCATCTGCTTGAATAATGTACAAAATTTTTTTTCGCAACACTCCATCTTTCTCTGAATGAAACTCAACTGCAAAATATTCAACGTCCGCAGCTCGGCAAATCAACGCTTGTGGAATCATAGCGATGCAGAGATGAAAATTGATTTACCTAGAAAGAGCGAGGTCATGCAACAATGCGCTAGTCGTAATGGCACATTAATACCCCTGTGCACCAATGTTTTGACACGAGTTTAGAATTCTCCGAGCTAATGTGTTTACACAGATGCAAATGAAAATGTAAGGCAAACCGAGTAATTGGCGTGATTTCGAGGATAGATGAGTATACTCTGGCATGTTTCGTTGCTTTCAGAGTACCAAAACATAATGTCCATTATTGAAGCTTTATATTAAGAGATATGTACCTATTTTAACGATATATTTACGTGTGATGATCTGATAAAGTATTGTTGTGAAAAAATAACAAGAGTTAAAACAGTCGTTCGTAAAATTAAAAATAGAATGCTGAAACGTTTATATAATTTACATTTAATGTTCTAACAGGTTTTTATTAAAATCTTTGAAAATTTGATAATAAACTAAAAGCACAGCTGTAAAGCTCTTATCAAAAATTTTCATGTACCTTTCTAAAAAATAGAAAAATCTTTATTGTCTGTATTAACAATTTCTAGTAATATAGACAAGATGCATAAAAGCTTTATAAAATCTTGCCTTTACAATTTTAGAAGATACAAATAATTTGTTGAATTATTCTAAAAATTTTCGCAATGTTGTCAGAGAACATCAAAAAATGAGATAGTAGGCTTTTATAATAATTTCAGAAGATCGAAAAAAGTATTATAAACTATTATAAAAACAGATAAAACGTTTTTCGAGTAGTCTCAGGAACATTTACATTTTTTAAAAATATTAATCCAATTGTTGCGCAATCTTTAAATAATTTTTAAAATAGCTTTAAAAAGATTTAATTTGCATTTTTGAAAATATTATTTTAAGAGTTGAAGAAAACTTTTAATGAGTTTTAAGGAAAATTATTAAATCTTTTTTGAAGTTTACTACATATCTTGTTAAAATGCTTGAAAAGTCTACATTCACTTCACCTTCCATTCAAATGCCTATAAAGTCTGCAGTAAAGGTTCCATTGAAATTATAAAAATGTTACTAATAACTTGAAATAATAATTCAACATTTCTTCAAGGCCCATTAAATATATATAAATATTGACAATTATTTGACACACGTTACAATTAAATTCAGTAAAATTTGTCGCATAAAAAATAAATATATACATGGGTAAGAAGGTCATTAATATTGAAAGTATAGAGTTTACAATGGAACTGTTTACCCAGAATACGTAATGATAAAAATATGTGGAAATAAGAATAAAAAAGGAATAACCGGCGTGGTTTGGTGGGTAGGTAGGATATTTCCTTGCGGGTCGCATCCGTGAAATCGAGAGCAGCCGGTAACATCCTCATCACTCAGGAAAAGCGTTTATATTCAAGCGAGGGCACCCGCCATGCCGCACCACACCGCTTTGAAGACCCTCGATCCTTCCACGTCCCTGATAGTGTGAGAGTTACTTTACGTACCTGCGTACTTCTACTGGTGCTGCAGCGACAGCCGGTAACCGTTAGGTGGGGGCAAGAAAGGAAAAAAGGTTTCCTATACCTTCGTCAATGCCGTTCTGCCGACTCTCCACTGGTAGTTTCTCACATCTGCCTATTTCCAACGTTCCAAGTTCAACTGCAGTTTCACTGTTTATTGATTTATACTGATTGACTTGTTTTAATTGATGGCTCTTTTCTTAACACGTTAGGTTTTCTCGTAATTAGAGACTGGCATTTTGTACAATATTGAATTTCTGCTTACCCATTTCATCCTATCTGGTAAAATGTTTAGATATTTTATTGCAAAATTAAGCATTACAAATTAATGACTACCAAAATTCTATTGTATCGTAATCGATAATAAACATCGTAATGTTTTTACTAACTGTAATTTACATTTTTTAAATAATTTTCGCTGCCAGTTTCAAAATCACGTCAATAATAAGAGCAATGAGTGAATGGAAAAGTGAAGGTAACGAAATTTCTCTGCAAACAAGAAAAAGCCGATAAACTGTAATGACTGGCTGTTATGTAAAATGGAGCAGACGCGAAAAAAATACATATATTCTTTCTCTCGTTTTCTCATTCATGCAGGAAATACTGGCCGAAAATATCGATTTGGCTCCAATTTCCGAAATTTTCTATGTAGAATAAAAACTAGCCTTGACATAAGCGTGTCAAATACGCATGCATTAGCATATCGAGCCCGAGTCATCGCATAACACAGTGCGTTAAAATCCTGGCACAACGTTACAGTGGAGTACCGGCAAAACGCCAGAACGCGGCGACGGCGAAGACGACGAACGAAGGGAGTATGTTTCATCAGCCAGCCACTTGGTGTCGCTCCGATCGACCCTCTCGTTTCTCTCTCTCTCTCTCTCTCTCTCTCTCCCACTACCTTCGATCCTTACTATCGTATACATACAGTCAAGCAGAATGAGAGAGCGAGAGAGACAGGCATATATATAGGTATAGTACATACACAGTATCGCGTTGCCGGCCCCTTTCGCTTCAGCTTGCTGCTTGCTCGGCTCTCGCTCTCTCTCTCTCTCTCTCTCTCTCTTTGTCTGGCAGTCTCCTTCTCCCCCGGCGTTCGTTCGTTCGTTGGTTGCGGCGGCAGCTGCCGGCTGCTGTCAGTATACGCGCGCGTCTCGCACAGTGCCTTTCGATCTCTACGATTATACGACGAATGCTGAGCGTTCGCCACCATATAGCAGAGCTGCCTAAGTACGCGTGCGCCACATCCACTCGCCGGTTTGTATATTCTGCAACCCAACTCCTCTCTTCCTCTCTCTCTCTCTTTCTTTCTTTCTGTCGATACACATAACTCTCCCTCGTCTGTCGCGGCATTTGCTTCTTCCGCAATAATCGATGCCCCTACCTCACCACCAACAAACCTACGCGCATAGCTCTCCGCACACAAAATATTTCTCTCTTACTGTCGATGCGACGTGAAGCAAGTGGCGCGGCGTCGGTACCTGCAGATTTTCAAACGACTGCTCTAGCCTCTCTCTTTTCTCTCTTCCTACCTCCCCCGTGATCCTTCCTTCTTTCACTGCTTCTTCAGTGCCTGCTTTGTTCGTGCGAGAGTCGAAGCAGCAGCAGCAACGCGCGTCTACGCTTGAGCAGAGCCGGTTCCGAGTCTGTGTGAGTGTGCGTCGCTCTCCGCTTTGTTTGTCGCTGCATCTCTCTTTCTGCTCCGCTTTCCCCTCCCCTTTTTTGCACATCTGCTCTGTCTCGCACACGCGTACACACGTACTTTAGTTCTCTGTCTCCCTCGCTCCCTCTCTTTCTCCCACATGTACACACGTACATACACATGATCGTGACCTTGGAATTGGTGTTCAGTATCCCAGGAGAGTCGGAAACGCCAGCGAATCACGAAGCAGCCCAGCAGCAAAGCATTGTTGCCGCTGCCGAGGAGTCCAGCATGTTTCCTTACACCACCTTCCCCGCTGTCGGGTAAGCTCACTTTCACACTCAGTGTTTCAAATTTTTGTTTGCTATTGTTCTTTGTTCTCTCCCAAGAATAGGAACGACGTGAACAGTGGAGTTGTTCCGATTGATTTCGGATGTCGGAGCATGCCGCCGTTTTACCGGGAATAAACAGCTGACGCGAAGCCGACTCCTGTTTTTCCGGCGTCGAGCCCTGGTTCGCCGCGCTCTCGTGGACGTTACGTAGAGTTGTCATGAGACTAGCGCGTGTGTTCAGTGCTGTGCCTAACTAGATACGCTTGTTTGTTGACCAGCTGGTATTTTTCGTGTTGCTTTCTAATGCAACGTTCGGCGGGATACGCTAGATTGAATTTTCCGCCATGGGAATAGTCTGACCGTTCAGTGTAGTAAGCATGAAGGTTTTCCGAGAATTCAGGCATCGGGGTGCGAGTGGTGTTTGACGAGGAATGTTTCCCTTCTCCAAGGTACATCTGGATATAGCATAACGCAACTTTTAATAAAAAGTTCGCGCAGTTCTCTCGCTTTTGGAAAACACGTGGAAAATTCGATATGAATTTCCTATAATTGAAATACCTGAAATGCTGATGTATCGGCGCACATGTCGATGAAGTTAATATTTTTTTCTTTACGAATCCAACGCGCGATAATAATACTCGATTAATTCCCCGGTGGCGCGCAATGGCGGCGGCATGCTCTGATCCTCCGATAATGTTATTGAAATACATATTTAATGTTTATCTCTATATTTGTTATACATATATATATATATATGTATATATATATATATGAATTGGCTATATACATATATACCATTTTGAGTATCGGTGCTGTAGTATTAATATTGATAATTTAAGGTAGAACGTTGTTAATTAGTATCGGTGCTGTAGTATTAATATTGATAATTTAAGGTAGAACGTTGTTAATTAGTGGTTGTATGTCTATAGGGGAGCAGTATATATATATATATCTAAATTTAAACATCTAAATATTATTTTTTAATGTTTGCCCTGTGTTTTGAGAGTTGACAACTTAGAGTCTTAGAGAGAGTTGAATCGCTTGTAATAGTATGGAGCAATGAGTGCCGAGAGCGATTGAGCTCTCTTATATTCTAATAATATTCTTGATGTATATCTCTGTTTTGACTGACGTTATTACACGTAACCCAAGGTAAACCAACATTAGCGTAATATTATGTGGCTCGATATGGTAATTGGTATTGTAAACTATTTAATGAACGGTGTCCGGCCAAAGTTGGTTGCTCTCACCATCGCACACATACACACACGCGCACACACACATAGAATACACACGACTAACTATATATATATGTACTTATGTCTCGAGCAAGGGTCAGGCATTCGTTTTGTTTACCTCTTGAATTGTGTATTAGCCTTTACGTCTCTCTCGGCGGAGCCTCTGTTAGCGTTTGCTGCATATTTGCGAGGAGATCGCTTTGCGAGCATTCGCAACAAGATTGCGATACTTTCTCTCTGGTCGACGGCCGCCCACACGTCGATACACGTCGCATGTGCGAATGCTCGCGAGTGAACTTTTACGTGGAACACGGCGACGGCCAAACTGAGCCGACGAATGCAGCAGCCGCAATATTAGATAATACAGCTTGTGAAGTAATACGTGGCATCTCTGTCTGTCTGTCTCTTTCTCTCTCTCTCTCAGTCACTCACTTGTAAAGCGCGTAGCGGGGTTACGTGCAGTATTTATATATCCTACATAGTTGCATGCTGAAAGCGACGCGCAGCAAGATGCGTATCGACTCATTATGTTGCAAACCTAGAATCGTAGACGTATTGTATACACGTATCCACCATAGAGCACACACGACATTTCGCCACTTCCCGTTTCCTACGCCTATGACCTCTTCTCCCATCCCGATGGCTTATTTATCGTTGCCGAGGGAAGACACCTCTGCGTCGACCGCGACTGCATATCTTTCAAGACGAACTTTCGCTTAGCGATTTTTAGCATAAAATTTGTGTTCTGCCTTTTCTAAACTTTTCTTGTTTTTCGAGGAGCGAAGAGCTCACATATTTTCTTTAAACTCTACTGGACAGGGAAATACGCCTTCCGATTTTCTATTAATCGCGCATTCAACTGCATTAAAATCATGTTAGACTCGCGAGCCCCCGAACTTTGCGGCGAAAGAGACGAATTCTGATGTGGCCTAAATAAACTTGATGACGAAACGCGTGAGAAAAAACCTACGGTTTTGATTAGAAATGTATCTTTACTCAAGACTTATTTTTCACCCCCCTCCCCCTATCTCTCGTTTCTTTTTACAGAAAGAGGTGCACAATTTAATTGTTTGTCTTAGCAACTACTCTATGGAATCTTGATGAAACCGGAGCAACAGTTGTATTGTATGTTAATGGTTCTGAAAATGAAGATTTCTCTCGACGCTTTGCAATCCAAATAGAACGCATTTTTTTTTCAATTAGGTTCTTCACTCTGGACACATCGCGATCAGTTCTCTCTCGAAATTTTATCTAAACGTAAAAATCCGAGTAAAAACGTGGACAACGAAGCTTTCTGGATAAACGCTGGAAGTCACCTCTGTGTGCTGCTCTAAATTTTCGAAAATTGACAAACAACGCTCTCGAATTGCAAACCTTAAAAACGCGTTAAAGCTCATTCCGAACGACTGTGCGCCGCAATTGAAATCTCGCCTGCTGGTGTCAAGGCTTTAACGCGGCGACCGCCAGACTGACTTTCGGCTGAGCAACGAGTTTCTAACGTCATAAATTGATGAGCCTAAGTAGAGAGCTTAGGACGTGACACTCCGCGAGAAGTTGCCGGCGAGACTCTTGGATTTTTCTTCTCTCTCTCTTTTTCTCTCTTCCCCTTCTATTTCGTCCGGAACTGCCGGCGCTTTCGCTTTCGCCGCTGGGGGATATCTAGATGACCGGGGCGTTAAACCGCGGTCAACGCGAGATTCAGATGCGCTCGCGCGCGTTAGACGCGGCGAGGACAGAAATAGGAAGCAAGGAAGGATTTCAGCAGGTGTCGTTTCTCTCTCTCTCTCTCTCTCTCTCTCTCTCTCTCTCTCTCTCTCTCTCTCTCTCTCTAAATAGTTTGGATGTATTGCGAAAATTTGCTTTTCTAATTGCCACGTGTACGCTTGTGCTTCTCGCGACGAAGTCGCCGCTCGGCTTACATAATTCCAACCATTTTTTTTTCTCCTTTTTGTTTTCGTTGGCGCTCATTACTTTTGTCCGTTCGGCGCTTTTCTTCCTCTCAGCTCCGCGGAGCGCCCTTACGTAACACTTTCCAGTCTCGGCCGTTGCTTGCTTCGCGCATTGTTTTTGTTTTCGCGCGCTCCCGAGGCTAGAATTGATTTCGACCCGTTTAACTTTTATTGGCGCGCGCGCGTGCGAGTCAAAGGAGAAAAGACAACATGATGTTGTTACGTCTTTCGTTCGTTCTATTCTGCGGAGACTCGTTATTTGCCCGTTAGGCGTTTGCGGCACCAAGGGAGTGCGCTGCGTATCCGAGGATCCTTTATCAGCGCGCTTTCGAAAAGTACACCGATCAAACGGAATATTTCGTGGTATCTTGCGGCCGAATTGAATTCCCGCAGCTATGCGCGGCGGCGTCATTCGAAAAGCGAGCACACGCTACCAGCAATTGAAAGAAATAAAGAGGAAAAGAGGCAGTCGCGTGATCCACATCTTGTGCACGAATTTCAACGACCGAGAAATTCATAATTACACCTCTCTCTCTCTCTCTCTCTCTCTCACTCTCTCTCTCTCTTTCACTCACTGGCAGTGGCAGTAGCAACAGCAGCAGCAGCAGCAGCAGCTGAGAATGACGTCATAGCGTGCTCGCGTAAATCATACCCACGCCGCTCTCTCTGGCTACGCAGTATTTCGAGAGGTATATACTCTTTTTCCCGTGACCTCAGCCAGAGAAACTAGCTCGCTATCGAACACTAAACTCTTTCATCGGATTGGGCATAAAGGAGGCTGCTGCACGCACGTGTCCACGCAATAAAATACACGATTTTCGGGGCGGCGCGGGCGAGAACGGGGTGGGGGAAGGGGTCGTGCGCGCGCGACAATGGGCAATCGAAGGGGAAAATTCTCGAAAGCGAGTATCGTTGCTAGGAGCGACGCGGACAAAGAGAGCGAGCGAGACAGCCGAGCCTTAGTCTCTGTGAAGACGCTCGTTGTAGTCCGACTGGGCGGCGCGTGGTTAGCGTCACGACGATGGATGGCGTGCAAGCACAGAAGGAGAAGACCGACTCCCGGTCACTCGCGTCTCTCGTCGAATGCCCAGCCACGAATGTCGAGAACTCGCTCGTTCCTGTTTGTCTTTTTTTTTTTTTTTTCTGTAGGATTCCGCGCGCGTGAAAGTTCGGCGTCATTGTTCCCGCACAATGGGCGGATTGGGATGCGGCGGGGTAGGTGAAGGGGGTTGATAGAGTAGGAGAGAGGCATAGGCGTTATCGCGTACATCCTTTCCTTTTCGTACGGCATAACCCGTAGATTAATCGGAGTTGATTGACGCCGAGCCTGTTGACTCAGCTACATAATGGCTCCTCGCCTCGCGCGAGCACGCGTCGAAAAAACCAAGAGCAAGAGGGAGAGAGAGAGAGAGAGAGAGAGAGAAGAACGAAACAAAGGAGTATTCCGAGGCGCGAGCGGGAAAGGAAGTTTAGAGGCGTGCACCGGAATGAGGAGGAGGAGGAGGAGGGAGATCCGCGAGAAGTTCGAGGAACTGCGCCGCTGCTCGATGTGCCGAGATCGCACGTGCTTTTACCTCCTCGCCACCACATCGGGGCCCTTCGCGAGCCGAACCTCGCCAAGGTCGGCCGACTCTTTCTCTTTCCCGGCGCAAGGTTTTTCGCGCGGTTCGCTCAAAGTCGAGGTCATTGCGCGCGACGACGCGAGGAACGCTTCTTCCAATTGAACCACTAATGCGTTCCCGTGGCCTCGCTCTTTTGTTTTTTTCCTTTTTTTTCGTATTTTGTTTTCGTGAGCAACCGCGTGTGACAGTCGACGTAATTGATTCAGGAGCTCCTTGTTTTTTTTTCGTTTCGTTATCTCTTAGTAAGATCGCTGAGATTTCGTGCGCCAGTAATCCAGATTTTTACAAGGAAGTGACACAGTGGTGATTTATTGATGAACGAAGCAGCGGAACGACAGCCGCGTCGCCGCGTACATGACAATCGAGAAGGGGGGAAAAATGCGCGCTGCAAGGCTGAGGAAGCGGCCGCAGCGGGTTTCGGAGTAGAGTTACGCAAGAAAAGCCGGCAACACGATCCAACGACGGCCTATTCAAATTACGGTGGGTCGCGGTCGCCTCGTCTTGGCTTACACGACGAACTCGTGGCCGGTCTCGTCCTCGCCGATCTCGTCGGTGACGTTGCCCTCGGCGTCCAGCATCGGCTCGCCGCGCATCAGCCGGTAGCGGTTGTCCAAGTGGATCGTCGGCTTCCAGTCGTACGTCTTCGCGAACTGCAACGCAAACGCAACGCAGCCGTTAACTCGCCGGTCGAACTTGCCGCCACGCTCCACGGGCCCTTTCCATCGAGTTACACGGGCACGCTCGGCGCTCGCATTGTTGGCTGCGCTCGCCCGCCTCCGCGTCGAACCGCCTCGCGAGCCGTACTTTTGGTACGAATTAGAAAGTTCGCCTGGCGCGACGGTTTGCTCTCGATTCGACATGAAACGCGCGCGCCGGTCGTGAGTGCGTCGCGGGCGCGCCTCGGCTTCGTTTCAATTGTCAAAGGCCGGTCGATCGGTCGGAGGGGGGCGGGGGGCGCGGGACCGAGACTCGCCGCCAGGTGAAACGCTGATTCTCCGCGATCGACCAAACCTGGCGCGGCCTCATTCAATAATCAAGCGGGCGCCTAAGAGGCTCTCTCCGCTCGCTCGCGCTAACGGCCCATCAAATACGCTAAGCCGCTATGCCGGCGCTGCGATTAGGGATGCGTCGAACTTGTCACCGCCGCGACGGCGAGAAGCAGCCTAGTATATAAGCGGCTTACGCCCGGAGCTTCTGTGTGACCTCCCTCTGCCACTCCATCCCTCTCATCGATTACTTCAGCGGCGTGCTCCGAAAATAGAAAGACGGAGGAAAAAAAGAAAAAGGAAGAAGCGCGTGGCTCTGGCGCTCGTCGGGGCTTCGGGAAATAATGCACTTTACGCGAGCGGCCCGAGTAATCGAATTAGCCAGTTAGAAGCCAAAGCAAGGTTAAAGCCTCGCAAGCGTCGCTCGCAGGTAAATCTATCGCGGCGGAGGAGCGGCTTGCCCGGGGCTTCGTCGTCTTATCGCCGGACGAATTAACTCGCGCGGAGGCCGCGGCGGCAAAAACGTAATCGGCCCGGAAATACAATTTCGCCGGACCGCCGCGACGCGGAGCGCGGGCATATTATTGGAGCGGGTAGGGAAACGCCGATCGATCCCGCGCTGGCTGGCTGCGTCTCCGACGGAAAATTCGGCGCGCGCGCGCGATGCTTCGTCACGATAACGCGGCAACAGACGGGGGCACGAGGGTGGTGAACCCGCGGGGCCATCTCCGAGGCGAATCGGCGCGTCGTCTTCTTTTATTCATTATCGATCGTCTGGAAAACCGTACCACGCTGGCTCTCTCTCTCTCTCTCTCTCTCTCTCTCTCTCTCTCTCTCTCTCTCTCTCTCTCTCTCTCTCTCTCTCTCACTCTCTCTCTCTCTCTCTCTCTCTCTCTAAATCTTCTTACAGCGAGGCATCCCTGTCTCTCTTTCACTCCCCCGGGATACACATTGTCAATCGTTTCGCAGTTGCATTGAATTTTCACCGGACAAAAGTGCAATTCCTTAGGTAAACCATAGTCGATAAACTTTACGGTTCCCTCGCCTTAACAAATTATTTGACCTGCTCCTTGGAATTTTTTTACGTGGCCCGATTTTTACGTCGTGCCTTAAAAAAAGCCCCTTTGTTTTTCTGACGAGAAAAAGAAAGTACCGCGGAGATTGTTCTTTCGTTGCTGGGTGTGTTTGTCTGAATGTGTATGTGAGCTGCATTCCTCGAAAAGCAGTAAGTCTTAATCCCTGCAAACGTATAGCCGTCTGGATAGAGCGTTACGAGAAGCTGATATCAGTCGTGAATTCGTTGTAGATCCAAACGATCGTCGTGAGCGCGCAAACAATACGAGTCCGTTCGACTTGCCCGAGTTTCCTTAGCAAGGGCAGCAGCCTAAAACAAAGTGTTTCGTGCGTCCGAAGTTAGCAATCTTGAGAGGCGTTTGAGCCGTTGAAGACTTAGTAAAACGTTAGCGTTAGCCCGCGCGGGCTCGACGGATGCAGCACGAACAAACGCATGCGATATAAGTCGGAATGGACATGTTGATAAGCGCGAGCGCAGTAAATTGCGTGTTGTCAACCGTGGCTTAATAACACGTAGTAACTACCGTATAATGGTTGATTAGCTTGCAATACTTGGAGACTGTTGCACGCCTTACGTGTGTACAAACATCACGTACAATGTGCCGGTGAGCTGTGTACCTTGCGTTTGTGTATACCAACTCTCTGTTATCTTCCGTTAGCTAGATGGACAATTCTAACAATGTCAGTGGTGCTCCGTTGTTTGCAAAGTTGGTATATTCATATTTGCGGACACATCATTGAGTATTGGCCAATCGTATCTATATAATATATCCTCGTTCGTAACATATCGATACATGCATACATATTAACGAGTCTTGCTGAAGTAAAGTTTTCTTGCCTCCCACCCTGCAACTCTTTAACTCCTTTTACTAGTCGGTTAGGAACGTCCAGAGAAAATTTATATATATTTACGTCTATATATATATAACAGCGTTAGCATGCTCTGCTTGTACTACGTATACGTCAAAGTAGGTTTTCCGTAGGACAGCTATCTGTCTATATCTATATACACATGTAGCCACGTAACATATTGTGTCCAATTATGTGGTCCTCTGTGGTCTTTTTTCTTCTGTCCGTCTGTCCCTCCTCCCCCCCCCCCCCTCTCTCTCTCGCTCAGTCGCTCTCCATCATCGCGTGCCGACGGATTATCTAAGCGCCAATTGAACGTCAACGGGATAAATCTCGAGCAATAGACTGCGCTACGTGAAAGTACTCTGTTTACGGCTCGGGCAATTTTGCTGCCTGTCACGTACAGAAAAACCAGTATGAATTTGCAATTTTCGATGCTTGCTGCGTTGCTCTGCTGCGGTTCTCTCGTAAAACGTTCGCAAAAAGCTCCCAGATTGTAAAACAACACGACGCTTCGAGGAGAAACCGAGAGAGAGATAGAGAGAGAGAGAGAGAACGAGAAGGGTGGGAGGACGGGAGGAAGGGAGGAAGGGAAGGAGAGAGGAAAAAAGAGCGAGAAGGATGGTAGAGGGAAACGAAAGAAGCCTTATAAGCAGGCGTGTAAAGAAGGGCGAGAGTGTAGTTGAGTTAGTCTAGGCTTTTTATTTATGGTTTTCTTTTTCTTTTTTTTTTGTTCTTCACAGTACACAGTGCGCGAGAGAATTATACTACTCGTGTTGTTTATTCGTACTCGAGCGAAAGATTTTTCCAACCATGCTAATCGTGAAAGACCAAACTACTACCGTAGCATTATATATATTTGTTCCTCTGTCTTTCTCTCACTATCTCGTAACGACAAGCCCTGTCCATTTATATAGCAAATTTTCTCTTATATAGTCAAGGTGTTTTTTAACACTTATTTTGTTTATTTTATCTCACTTATGTATATACATGTACAAAGCGGTATAAAAGATTTGTCGTAATTATTAAATATATTTATCGTTAGATTTGATGGTAACCATATTGAGCGAACGTAAACATTATTTACTTAACACTTATTGACAATGCACGATGATTAAAAGCGAGATACATATATATATATATATTATTTTGTTGAGTTGTTTGATCGCATTTATATATTTATTCACACAGTAAAATGTAATTAACCAGTGCAGTGAGTTGATTTCGCGTTTCTTTCTATTATAGCTTGCAGTTTCGTATGTAACAATGTTTCTGTTTTTAATCTCTTTTGTTTTTTTTTTTCCATTACGTATCTATCTCACTCCATTATCACCATGAAAAAAATTAAATGAGTAAAGTAAAAAAACGTAACTGAATAAATCGTAAAAAAATTGTCTTTTTGTGCTCCTTCTAATGGTGTTTCGTAGGATCTCGAGAGGGCGCAGGAGCCGGAAGGGCCAATGTCGAGTAGCTTGGTCCTGTTTGTTAGGAAGGGAACACAACTGCGGCCGTGGGGACGATGGGGGTTAAACGAAAAAAAAGAAAAGCACGCATACTGAATGCTCGTCGTCCCCGGCAGTATCATGGCGATAAGCCTGTTCTCTCTGTGTCTCTCGCTTTCTGAAAGTCAGAGAAAATCAGAGCGAGAGCGTCGACTCGTTAACGCACACGACAGTGTCGGCCACAAATGTCTATGACGTCCGTCAGAGGACGAACGAACGAAAGCACATCCTACGAGAGCTAAAGCCAAGGTAATGTTTGCCATCTCTCTGTCTCTTAACCAACACTCACAGAAAACATTCCAATGATAACCGAGCAATCGAATGAAATAAAGTTCCTTTTATTTTTTTGTTTCTCACCGTTCATTACATTGTTATTTCTTTACTTTATCACTGCTTTCTGTATTTTCCTATATTATGTGTGTGTGTGTGTGTGTGTGTGTGTGTGTGTGTGCGTGTGTGTGCGCGCGCGCGTGTGTGTGTGTGTGTGTGTGTGTGTGTGTGTGTATGTATGTATGTATATATATATAAACCATGAGTGATCTTTGCCTTCGTTTTTTTTTTCTTTCATCAATGTTGTATGCCAGAGAAATTCAGAGACGAGTGGCATGACGAAGCTCAGAATGCAGATCCATCTATCAACCGATTCGAACGCGATGCATTCGAACTATTCTGAGTTTTGGATACCACCCAGTTAGCCTAGTCGAAGAATCTCTTAGTTCTCAACAATTCGATGCGCACCACTTAAAATCGCCTCTTATAGCAATACTCCCAATAGTCTATCCGTGTCGTGTAGGAACTGCGCGCGCTAAAAAAGAAGAAGCCGAAATCAAAGAAGGAGAAAAGCAGAATCCCAAAGAATAGCCAGTACTAGGTTGTAATCTGGGATATTGCGACGGCCAAAGCATTAGAGAATTAGATTTCAAGCAAACTATACGACTTGACTTGCTGCGTACGACGATCCTTCGTTTCAAAGACACAATCGTCCGGTGTCGCGTTAAAGGTTTCAGCTCGACCTGTAATCGGCTTAATTCCATCTCCCCCTCCAGCCGGTAATCAAATTTCTATTAGGGTATCGAATTGATACCCGTGCGGTTTCGTAACGACGCTCTCGCACAGAAAGAGCGGCGAGAACTTGCATATTGCACACCCAGTGCTGGCCGATTCTCACACGAAATACTCGTTAGCGTTTGTAATAACGTTTCCCATGACTATTCTGTACTCTGTGCTGCTATTGACCGGCAGTCTGGGCTTCGCGTTGCGGATTTTCAGCGCACGTGCGCACTTGCGAATCGATCATTTGCGTTTTTGCAGCCGACATTATCCTCCTCTACTCCGCCATCCCTGCACGGTCCCTGCCCCATCTCCTCCGCTGGAGCAGCATTCGAGACTGTTCTGGACTATTTTATTTAGGATATCGATCGAACGCGCGAATACATAATCTGCGCGAGGCTTAGCTATCCATTATTTGACTTTAATTAACGTTTCATTCGCTCTGCTTCGGTACATCAACCAGATTTTATCAAGCTCTCTACTTATCGTGATTTACTGTCGCATCGTGCTATTTAGCTAGATTGTTGGACTGGCAGACGTACAATTATTTTCGACAGATCAATATTTTACTTTGCCTCTGTCCCATCACGCTTCTTCACAAGTAGACTGTTCTATTATCAGCTGTTGGTATCTCCAGTCGGTAAGCTTGCCAGCTGATATGACGGATTTGCCAGTCTACTTTATCAGCAGTAGACAACGACAGATCATTGTTGTTTCCCTAAAAATAATTGTCACGCAACCTCACCACCGATACCATCTCATTGTTCAACTAGCTAACAATTCAACTGTCAAGCAACTATTATCTTCTAATTTTTACCTATTACTATCTTATCAAAAGCGTGGAGATACAGTTATTTCTATTTCGATAATATTTATATGTATGTCACACATTAGTTAATTACATTATTAATTTTAGTTTTTAAATAATTTCTAAGCTGCTACTGTACTAAGGTACATTATAATAAGGCGCTACATAAGCGTATAATTCTAGAACGAACGTTCAAAAATAGTACACTCAATTATCTATAATTACCATGGTGATATTTCAATCTAAACTAATCAAATATCGATGAAAAAACTTTTTGCGAGAAATTCGACATAATCACGATATTTTTTTAATCTATCGAAAGCTCTGCGGGATTGTTATCTGTGAGCCAAAGTTTTATGGGAAATAATCAATATTCCATCAAATATTGGACATGCTCTAAACATACAAATATTAGAATTGGGATATTTGATGGTTTAGAATGGAATGAAAGCGTGTTATATTTCAGAGGGTAAGTCATTTGATAAATAAAAAATAAGTACTATTATCGTGAGATTCGCATTTATTGAAGAAAAATTTGTATAAAAGTGATTTTATACAAATTTTACGGTTCGTCATAATGATGATGAGTGCAGCCTATGGCGCAATATATATCTATGCGAACTCGGCGGGAGAATTCGGCCAAAAAGGTAGAATGTCTAGGACACTCTGCGAGCGTGTACATGCTGCACATCGATTGGTCTGTCTAGAATCTAGGCTACTAATAGTAATCGAGGGAAAAAAATGTAGCGTCATGTTTAATTGCGTATACATATATATGTATTTTATTGGAAAAAGAATGTGCGAGTCTATCGTGTAGGCTTTATCAACACAATCTATATCATACTCTATATATAACCGACTATCACACTACAGACAAAAAAAGGTTTATATCAATGTGTTCCTATAAAAAGAAGCATATTGACAAGATTATGTATATATATATAAAAATAAGATACTTAAATAGCTACGGTGAAGATAATAATCATAGGTACGTCGGTTAGATTCAATCAATATATATATATACAATAGGGAAAAAAAAATTTTCAACTAAACAACGAATCGAAAGAAAAAGAAAAGAAAAAAACCGAAACATCTCTATCAATTGTCAATTCATCATCTGCACGTTACCCTGGCATTGTACACCCTTTGCTAGATGGTCCTGTCATATACACAACACACAAAGTTAGCACACTTGCAGCAGCAGCACGGTCGTTGTCATTGCCACTGCCATCGCGGCAGTGAGAGCTACTGGGGGTTGGTCGGATGTGTGTATATATATATAGATATATATGGAAAGAGTGAGAGAGAGAGTGAGAGAGAGAGAGAGAGAGAGAGAGAGAGAGAGAGAGAGAGAGAAGAGAGGGACGCTGTCGACATCTGAGCGCGGTGACCCGCACGACGACGACTGACTTGTGTGTGCTCTCTGTGGCCACCCCCCGCGCACGCGCGCACCCCTCACGTCGAACGACTGCCGGCGGCAGCAGTAGCAGCCTCCACTGCGAGCTCCGTGACGGAGATTATTATAACACAATTAATCCGCGAAAGCTTGGCTCGCGATCGACTAGCTATTCCGCGCGCGCAGATAGTCCGACGAGGAGACGAACCCTTATGACGACGGCGGCGGCGTTGTTTATCACTCGCGGAAGCTAATCGATACTAGTAGACGATGTCGGTCGGCTGTGCGCTTCGCGATCGATCGGAAAGCTTTGCGTTCGTACTCTCTCTCTCTCTCTCGCTCGCTCTCTTGCGACGTCGACGGCTGTAATTCTAACCTCCAGCTCTCTCTCTCTCTCTCTCTCTCTCTCTCTCTCTCTCTCTCTCTCTCTCTCTCTCTCTCTCTCTCTCTCTCTCTGGCTCCCTCTCTTGTTCTCTTTCTCTCGCATCGCACGCTATGCCAGCCAGCTCACATCAGCCTCCGCCCCACACCGAAAAAGGGAGGAGGAGAAGGAGGAGGAGGAGGAGGCAGGAGGTGGAGGACCGCGCCTTTATCGACTTTGCGTGTTTATCATCTGTCCGTGGTGGTCACCACCGCCGCTGCTCCCTGTGCGTTGAGCGAGCGTGAGTCGAGGACAATGTCCCGACACACCAGTAACTTTAGCTAAAGACGTACTGCTGTGACAGGACAATATTCCCGACTTCGCGCTTGAGGAGCTGTAGCTGGTCGAGGGTCGCTGCGGGGATGGCCGCTGCCGCTGACGTACTACGAGTCACACTCGCGAAAGCTCGAGCGAGACGAGAGAAACTGGCCGAGCGAGCGGGAGCCGCTGCGGTTGTGGTGCGTCCGGTCGGACGCTCGCGCAAGGACTAGCGACGAGCGGCCGCCGAGGCAGTGCGGCGGCGCGCGCGGAGCCGGAGCGAGAGAAAGAGAGAGAGAGAGAAAGCGCAACCCCCTAGGCCCCGCATATTGATCGCCGCGACTGCGCGCTCCAGCGCCACCCTCGTCCTGCCTGCCTCCTCCGGCACACGGAGGTGGAAGGCACCGCGCCAGCGATTCTTCGCGTACTTTGTACCGGCGGCGCGAGCCTCGCATATGGGTAGGGCTCTCTGCCCCCCATTGTTTCTCTCTCCCCCTCTTGATTGCGGGGCGGAAGGCCGAAAGGAGGAGGAAGATGAGGGGGGGGGGGGCAGGCCTAGCTGAGCTTCCGAGCGTAGGCCGTGGACGGGCGTGCGTGTGACTCTCACCTTGAGGTTGCGCGGATTTCGCAGGTCGAAGAACTGAGGCTTCGAGGGTATCTCCCAGCGCGGCAGACTGCCGCCCAACCTGCAACCAATACAGCGCACATGTAGCTGAACGCGGACGCGCCATTGATTAGGAGAGCGAGAGAGCCAACGTTTTTTCTCCGCGCTCACGTTCCCGCGCCTATACAGTCCCCAAGCTTTCCTTTGGGGGTTACGTACGCGAGGGGCACGCGAGAAAGGGAGAGAAGAGTATCGATTTTGGGGGATGAGAGGGGCTCTCTCTCTCTCTCTCTCTCTCTCTCTCTCTCTCTCTCTCTCTCTCTCTCTCTCTCTCTCTCTCTCTCTCTATAACGCGCGCGACTCGCCGTAGACGACGACGCGATGAGGACTTTCCGGGGACGTATGTGTGTCGAGGGATAAATCGCGCGTATGTGTGGCAGCGTGGCATTCTTCCGCGCGGCCACGGCCAGCGGTGTTATGCTTATATTTCCTCGAGGCGAGAGCGGCAAACCCAACGACCGATATGCCGTATTATCCGAGCCGCGCGCTTTTTTCGCTCTGATTTCATAGGGCACCCGATTTCCGCGTTGCCGTCATGCCGGGCAAAGTTAGCTTGACGAATTCGTTAGATCGGGGCGCGGGAAAGTTGGAAAACATAGGTCGACGTGTACGCAAACGTTTATCTTTGAGTTATGATAATCTGCGTCGTTAGGCGCGAGCGAGCGGCGACTTTAAGGCAATTATAAGTTTTCAGCCCTTGTTATTTCTTTGCACGGGGAGGCAAGGAAAACATTTGTTTCAACTTTTTCTCTTCTCTCTCTCTCTCTCTCGCTCGCTCTCTCGTGCCGTTACGCTCCGTAACTTTCGAATGCCTAATTGCGGCGATGACTGGCGCCAAATTGAAGGCAATCGTAGAATAGGAACGAGAGCGGGCGTACGACAAGTCTTACCGAACGTCTATCGTGGTGAAGAAAGTTCGATGCCACGCTACGATAGGCACCGCTGATAGGGTCACGAAGATGATCGCCCAAAGCGGCAGCGTCTGAAAAAGAAATATCAGCAACCTACAGTAGCGATAGGAAAAGCAAAGCAGCGATTAGCATAAGCATTATCGAAATTAAGGGAGTTGAGATGATACTGCAACGATCGGATAAATGTTTTAGCGCGGGTATGGAGGCGGCAGCAGCAGCCGCAGCAGCGGCCGCAGCCGCAGCGGCGAACGGCACGGCGAGCATCGAGCACGAGTTTCACAACAACCTGGTGCCGATAAATGGCAGTCACTCGAGCAGCTCCGGACGCAGTACTCCGAACAGTAGCGATCCGGCGCCGGGAAAGCTCTTCGTTGGTGGACTCTCATGGCAGACGAGCAGCGAGAAGCTTCGAGAGTACTTCGGCATGTTTGGCACCGTCACCGACGTACTCATCATGAAGGATCCCGTCACGCAGGTTGGTTCTCCTTTTTGTCGCCGTATTATTCGACATTACCGGGGAATATTCGCGCGTGGCTCGTTATCGCGGAGCATCAACTGAATTAATTTGAATAGCTGGCGAATTTATCGAACGTCGGTCGAGGGTGAGGGAGGGCGACGTGTTTATTTTAAAATTCAAGAGGGAAATTGAATTGAAAATTTGGTCGAGCGCGGCTGGATGTGCGAGCTCTTTTTTTCATTTGAAATAACAGGCGAGTGGGAATGAAAAATGTATTCTAAATTTACTTTGTATCGCTGCTCTGCTGGATGATTTTTCGTTTTCTTTTTCCTTTTTTCCTTTTTTCCCAAAATCACAGAATGTTTGCTCTGCTCGCGGGCATTAGTTCACTTTGAAATACGTACATTCGATTGGAGCAAATAACAGGCGCACTTACGATTGCTCGTGCTTATAATCAAATACATTATTTGTACTAGGGAGCGCGCGACGGGATACTGCTGTGCAAACGAACGTTTATTCTCGCATCGATAATTCCATCGAGAGCATTACTTGCGTTGACCTATCGGGAGAGCGGAATGCAATCGGACGCGAATCGGGTGACGTGAATCGGGCAAAGCCGTCGCGTCTCTTGCACAAACGCTTTCGCATAATAATTATTATCTTGGGCTGGCACCCTTTGTAAAAGTTGACGGCGAGCGAGAGGGAGAAGGCAACTTGTCGGGCTAATCGCGGACGCTGCCAGGACCCGCTAGTTCGTTTCGCGACAAAAGAGAGGCGAGCGAGGCTGCGTCGTTTGTTCTCAAACAAAAGTAGAGAATGACCGGCGGCTCGGTGGAAATCCGTAATTTAGCGTCCCCTCGCTGGGGAAATAATTTCCTCCGGCACAAGTTGGCCTCGCTGGCGCAAGGCGAGCGGCAATTAGCCGGCCGCCTCCTCGTTCTGCGCAGGCTGGAATAAAAACCCGTGGTTTCGAATTACAGCGCAGCCGTGGGTTCGGCTTCATCACGTTCGCCGAGCCGGGCAGCGTCGACAAGGTGCTCAAGTGCCCGATCCACACGCTCGACGGCAAAAAGATCGATCCGAAGCACGCCACCCCCAAGAACCGCGCCAAGCAGGCCAACCGCACCAAGAAGATCTTCGTGGGTGGCGTGTCGCAAGACACCTCCAGCGAGGAGGTGAAGGCCTACTTCAACCAGTTCGGCAAGGTGGAGGAGACGGTGATGTTGATGGACCAGCAGACCAAGCGCCACCGGGGCTTCGGCTTCGTGACCTTCGAGAACGAGGACGTGGTGGACCGAGTGTGCGAGATACACTTCCACACCATCAAGAACAAGAAGGTGGAGTGCAAGAAGGCCCAGCCGAAGGAGGCCGTGCAGCCGGGCGCGTTGGCCCTGGGCAAGCGCGTGGTGCTGGGCGCGCTGGGGGCGGTGCGCCTGGCCCCGCAGCCGGCGCTGCCCGTAGCCGGCGCGGCGGTGGCCTCGCAGCTCGTGGCCCAAGCGCAGGCACAGGCGCAAGTGCAGGCGGCCGCCGCGGCCGCGGCTGCGGCCCAGGTGCAGAGCGCCGTCGCGGGCTACGGCAAGCTGTTCGCCGCGCAGGGCTACCCGGGCTCGCCGCTCTCGGCCTACCGCTACGCCCCGTACCCGATCCCCGCGTCGGCGGCGGCGGCGGCGGCGGCGGTGGCCGCCGCGGCCGCGGCCACGCCCGGGGCCCAGGCCCTGCCGGCCAACCCGGCGGCGGCGCCGCAGGCGCCCGGCCAGCCCCAGGCCAACTCGCCGGCGGCGGCAGGCGTCGCGCCGCCCAACCCCTACCAGGGCTACTCGCTCACCAACGTCGACATGTCGAGCTTCCAGGGCGTCGACTGGGGCTCCATGTACGGCATGGGCATGTATGTCTAAGTCGCCCTCGGCGAGCGAGTCCCCAGTCATCCAGTAAGTACATCATTACCAAGCAGGACCAAGCTGACGAGCGCTCTCGTCTGGAGAGCGACCGAGCGACGGCAGAGAGACCGGGCGCCCGATCCGGCCCGCCCACACCCGCAGCCACACGCACGCCCACTCACACACACACACCCACACGCACACGCGTGCTCGCAGCGCAGCGCTCTCGGTCGCTGAGTCGTCTGTCTGACTATCTGTCTGACTATTTGTCTGTCTGTCTGTCTGTCTGTCTGTTTGTCTGTCTCCTCTGTTCTCCGCGAGCGCGCATTCGTGGCAACGCGCGGCAAGACTGTCTTCTTCTATGCGTTGCCGAAAGCTGCTCTCATCGCCGTACTTAACTCGCGTGCCACGATGCAGCCGCGCGCGTGCGGTAGGCCAAGGACTGGCGAGAGCCAGCGGCGTTCGACGCGCCGGACATTGTTCAACAGCGAAAACACACATCGTTTTATCGAGTAGTGCAAACAGCGCGTTAGGGTTCCTATAATTCCTATGTGTAATCTCCGACGACGACGACCCCCCTCCCCCCCTAGACATACCTTACTCTTTCCCCCTCTTGAATTGCGAAGAAACTTTTGATTTCTTTTATTTATTATTACTGCGCTGCTATAGTGCTGCTCTCTGATATTAGTACTGATATTATTATCGACCTTATACATAAGTATTATTAGTCGTATTATTTTGACATATCGTCGCGAGTTACGTATGTTACTGATAATATACTTAGAGCTAGCGCCCCTTCGTTCTCTTCCGCTGTTACGCGAAAATGCGAAGAACAGAGCGGCGCGCGAGAGTGGGAGTGTGCCCACGCGCGCGCGCACACATACACATATACTCACATCGGCAGGAGTACTTTTCTTCGTTTCCCCCGGCCACGCGTGTGATAAGTCCTCTCTCTCACGACGACAAGTCAAGACAGCGCGTCGTTACTTAAACACAGGCTCTCTCGTACACGTTTCGCAGTTCTCCCTCTCTCGCGCCGCTCCACCGCCGGACATTATTATGCCGTCGCAATATATAACAAAAAGCAGTCTTTTGTTCTTATTGCGCTTTTCGAGAAGCTTTTCTTCCTTACGCTCGTATGCGTATGCTCGAGTTTAAAGCTCTTAGGCAGTTATCGACTAGATGTAGTAAGGTTCAAATAGCTATTACGAGTACTTAGACACGTCGACGTTTTAATAATACCGTCACACTTCCGAGCGTCCGAAACCACTTTAACTTCTGTTCTGAATAATCTGTATGATTCGCTACCACCACTAGCCTTTTTCGATTTTTATGTCTCTTTTTCTACACACCGGCCTTTATATTTTTTGTATAACAAGTATTTGGAGAGAGATTTCTTGTAATGAAGATTTGTTCTTTTTTCTCTTTTTCATTTGTGACACCTAAAAAACAGACTCACTAATTGAATTAATAATTGTTTTTTCTCCTTTTGTTTGTCTATGTTTCATAGCATTGTGTAGTTTTTGAGATCTAACCATTATAGTATTAGTAGGATCTTCGGATCTTAGTTGCGAGAAGCATGTCGGTTTATTAAACAAATGAATTGTACATTCATTACCTTAACATCACTATCACTATCATTAGCCATATATATATTTTTTTTGTTTCTCCAAACATATATAATATACATAAACGCCTATTATTACTATTGTTGTTACAATTGTCAATACTTAATATGAACATGAATTTCTCTGGACTCTCACCTTTCTTACACATGAGATTACGAGGAAAAACTAAGGCAAAGCTAATAATTAAACGAGTTTCTAAGAAATTTGAACTTTCGAACGAATCGTTCGCTGTAATTAACGGAGATTGTATAACCGTAGTGATGCGAGAAGCGCATTAGACACGTAAGAGAAAAGAACAAACTGAACAACAAACAAGAACAATAAATGAGATTATTGAAGGAAAAAATGACGAAAAGCAACAAAAAAAAAAAATAAATAAAAGAAAATAAAATAAAAAAATGAAGCCGGCAGTGATAATGGGTTAGCAGGAGCACTACTTCAATGGGCGTTCCTTCACTATTTTGTAATTAATGCCATGTACTACTGTTCTCGCTAACCACTATACTGCTACTGCTGCCATTATTGTTGTAGTAGTTGTTGTGTAAAAAGAAAACTTCACCTTTTTACTATCATCATATCATTGTCATTGATTATAGTCAGGTCTACCAGCATCGCCATTTCTCTCACTAGCAGCACTACCACCGCATCATCATCATCATTATATGCATCATCATTAGAGCGTAGAGACGGTAGAGTGAGAATTGACATTTTAGACAAGTACGAGCTTGGGTGTGAGAAAGGGAGAAAGAGAGAATCATCTAATAATTAACGAATAACAATAATAAAAATGAGAAAATCATAGTAATAACGATAATTGCTGATAACGATAATTAACGATAACAATAATAATTCATGGAATGCGCCTGCCGATTAACGGTGAAGCCACACACGCACGGGGGAGATCGAAAGAGCTGTGTATGTGTGTATTGTAGTTGAAAGTCGATCGATAAGCTGTGACGTGCGTGTGTGTGCGTTGCAAGCGTGGATGAGAAACGGTGAAAGAAAGCAAGCGAGCTGAAAGAAACCAATTTTTCAGAGCGCAGCTCGAGATCGTTGATCGATAACAACAATAATATTGGGATTTGTCTGTCGTTTTCTTGATTTGTTTTCTTAGCGGCGACTCTCGCAGCTTCTTTTTTTTATTCACTGTGCGGAGAGCCGCCGATTATCAAGCTATTATAATATACGTAATACATACTTTGAGAAGTGCATGCATTTTTTCTGTATATTTTCAAATCTTCCGTAATCTATAGCTTCCGAAAGCAATAATCAATAGTAGTAATAATTAGTAGATAATACTTAGTGATACGATTGACAAAAGTTGGAGAGCAAGGCTGTAATTACTTATGGCCACCGCTAATTTGGTTGTATACACTGATCACGCTCAAGTTTTTTGAAACGTATACGGCAAAACAAGTGACTAATGGCTGCTATATTTATGGAGAAAGACAGTTTTGAGAGAGAGTAATTTTTTCGTAGACGTAAATAAACGTTGATAAGCAAAATGGAAAGGATGTTGAGTTGCGCGCATGTATGTAGCCTCCTGTGTTACGTATGGATGGAGATCTGTATTATTGACTCACTCACTTACAAATTAAAAGAGAAAAAAGCAAGTTAAAAAAAAAACGTCAAGTCCAAGCAATCACTCACTAACACCGATACCGATTAAAATGATAAACGTAATTTAGTTTAGTCGACATGCCTAGAGAAATTGCCAATAAAGTAGTTTAAAAACTTGTAGCTAACATGTTTGTGTATTTTCCTCGTATCTGTCACTTATATTACCTCTCATTTATCTCTTTTCGAAATAATTTTTGACTCCGCAGCCTCTTTGTCCCTGCCCCATGCTCCTCCTCTAATTGACATTGCCAAAGTAATAATTATTGTGTTGGTCTGTGTGTTTGCGATATTTACATATTATCTTTTTTTCTATACATATATCATTCCTCCTATTCTCGAAAACACTGTCCTACCTCATTTCTATCTCTCTATCTCTCTCTCTCTCTCTCTCTCTCTCTCTCTCTCTCTCTCTCTCTCTCTCTCTCTCTCTCTCTCTCTCTTTCTCTCTCTCTTTCTCTTTTTTCCTCTCTTTTTCTCTCTCTTTCTCTCTATTTTCGCCTTTTTCTTTCGATCCATTTTGTTTTCTCTCAATCCTATTCTTTGATTACTAGCATCTCTTGGATTTAAACGCACTGACTTGGAATGAGCATCGACACACGTACATACAACAGCCTTGGGATTGTTGAGAACTCGAGAGAGTTGAGCAGCCAGGTAAGGACACTTGAGACGAAAGAAAGTAACGACCAGTAGTGATTTTTTGGCTAGAACTGTTGAGATTTTTTATATCATAGTACAAGTCGTTTTAGTCTCTTAGTTATTATACGTATCTGCATTACATATATACTTCGCGCTTGTTATATATCAATATCAAAGGACACGAGAGTTTTTAATTAGACAACAACATTGTATATTATCTCTGTGTGTATATTTCTTGCAATATATTATTGGAAGTGGTTTTAGACAAATTTGCAAGTGTGACACACTGACCGACCCACCATAGAGAGCATCGCAACGCCAGAGCTGAGCGTCGCAATCGGCGAAGAAACTAATCATTAATAACGCATTCTAATGTTGCATATACAGAGGCGGGCTGTGAGAATGACGAAGTAGACACGAGTTAGAAGAGTTAGTGCCATTATTTTTGTCACTTGTGTGACTCGCTCTTCTTGTCTTGTTCTTGAGAGCTGGAACTCGTCGATTTTAGAGTATTAGACTAATCTGTGCCACGACGAAGCCAGTTTTCACGAACCCAACAAGAGATATGGACTTTTTGACGTTTGCTCAAAGACATTGATTCGGAAAGAAAAGACGATGGGTGAGGCCGGGACCGGTAGCTTGATTAAACCAATTTTTGCTTGTGTACTCGCTTGCTTGCTTGCTTGTATACTCGTTTTATACTTGACATATTTTTGAAATCATTAGCTATCTATACATATATCTTTTGTAAATGTCACTAATATAGTATCCTTTTTTTTTCTATTTTTTTTAAAGTTATTCTCCTGTCATCTCTGGTTTTTTGTAATTAATACGTGCCCAACAAAGAAATTGAAATTATTGCACGCTTTCGTACAACCTCATTTGTTCTGTTCTTTCTCACGCGATTTTTTTTTTTTTTTTTTTTTTTTCTTACGGCAGTGAAGACAACGAAGGGGCAAAAATGAAGGTTTTAACTTTTCTAATAAACAAAATGCATTTGTCAAAAAAACAAACAATTCACAAGTTGCTCGATAAAAGAGATGCCTTTTCTCGCGTAAGCGTGTCTAACTAAACTGGACCTTTTTACTATTTGCGCACGCGAAGAAATGTTGAAAAAAAGACGCGTCGCAAGGGTTTTTACTCGTAAAAAACGTAGTCAAAAAACGAACAAAAAAAAATAATCGCTGAGGGTTGGAATTGAGCGTGTGCATGTTTTATCTCTGTCTATCGTTATTAAAGGGACCCACGCGTACCGTACAATTTTTCAAAGTTATTAACATTTCAATAATGGTGAAATGATGAAAGAACGGCATCGTGTTCTTCCAAGCGAACGTAGCTAACGGTATACACGTATAGATATATTGTACGTCAAAATAATAATAATAATAATAATGATATTATTAATAATAATAATGAAAAAAGCAAAAAAATACATTAACACAATTACACTTTTCGAAGCGCGAATATAACAAATGAAGGTACTTAATTAAAAATAAAAATAAAAAAAAATAATAGGGTCGGTCTGTGACGCCGACCACTGCTATTCTTATTGCATACATTATTAAGTGCGAGATAAGCAATAACGTTGATTATATATTATGCGATATTAACTATAATGAGCGCGTCGGCGGCAACGTTAGTTGGTTTTAACAAAGAATCCCGTAATTGAGCCACGCGAGAAAGGGTGTTCGAGCTTTCGCGCTGAAGCTAATCGAAGCTGACACACACACACACACACTTGGTTTCGTTTGATTTCGTGCGAAAGAGAAAAGGGAGAAAAGGAAATTGAATTTTTTCCGTTGATCATTGTAATGCGCGAGTGCGATGTGCGTGAAGAAAGAAAAGTGCGTTCATTCAATTGCCGAGTATGCAAACAATGTTTAATCCCCGGATCAATTATGATATCTCTCTCTTAATGCGACTATAGGGACATAGTGCGCGCCTTCGATTATGACAATAAATTTAACGGGAGTGTGCATGTGTATGAGTGCGTCTTGCGAGAGAATTCGAACGAAGTAGAAAAGCAAAAGGTGACGTACGGAGAGAGTGCTTCCCCCGGTCGTACATAGACGGCAATGCGCATTGTACGCGAAAAGCGAACGCCCTTTCTCGGCTCAGCAATAACTCTATTGAGATGAAGAATTCCATTAGAAACGAGTCTAGTCCTCCCTGACCCCCTTACATACTCCCCCATCCTCGTTTTACGCGAAGAGGAAACCCCGTCGCGATGAATAAAAAGAAAGAGAGAGAGAGAGAGAGAGAGAGAGAGAGAGAGACGCGGAAGGAGGGGAACAGGCAGAAAGGAGCGCAGTGTACTTAATTCCGAATCAAAATGGCACGCGTGGGACACGCCGGATGAAAAATGCAATGCAACTCCCGCGCACGTCTACGCCGGTGCAAGCTTTTAATCTAGTCTCGGACGCCACGCGTCGCTCGAATTCTTGGCATGCATTTATCCCTGCTGGCGCTCCCGCCTCGGATTTCGTTCCTTCGAAAAATCTTTGCTCAAGCTTCGAGAGGAATCTTCGTCGCGAAGCTTTCGGAATTGTTTGAAAAATCTTAGCAATAAAAAAATTAAATCAAACACATATATATATATATATATATATATATCTCGGCGAGCTTTAGTACTGTTTGGGCGAAGCTTTCGCGGAGCTAATACGTAACGTATGTTTTCTGCGAGCATTTAATTAACTTGATTGAAGAATCGATGCGAACGGTCGTTCGGCGCGCTTGGTCTCTACCCTCCCTCCTGTTCTCGGCCCTCGCCCTACTGTAAATATGGAATTCGTGCAGGGCGAGGGTGTGTCTAGTCTTGGCGGATAACTCGCGCGAATCGCTCTATCGTATCTTCCTATACATATATATATATATATATATATATATATATAACGTGCGTGTCATGATGGACGCTGCTACCTACCTACCCTTCTCGCTCGCTCTCTCTTCCTCTTCTAGTTCGCGCGAGTGAACAGCTATTCAGGCTGTGAGTAGAGAGAAGAAAAATATACACAGACACATACATACACACAGAAAATAAAAATGGAGCGTACGCGCGCGAGTTTTGCGTGCGCGCAAAAAAATTAAAGTATAAGATAAGCTTAATTAATTGAAAGGCGACCACTTGAATCACTACTCTGTAAATATTATATTATACATATACATATGATTGCAATTATATATAAATATATTATATATAAATATCGTATGCGCATGCATATCGTAATTTTTAAGGAACAATACGTACTCGTACACGTATATTTTTTCAATCTCATTCCAATGACGACTGTTTTGATCGCGCGTTCGCGAGGTTGATTAATTATATTAAATATATATATCCCTAAGTAAACAAAAGGACGAGGAAAGATCGAGGGAGAAGGACGGCGAGTTTCCTTCGGTGCAGCCACACCATAACTTGGATGAGTTATTTGCGATGGACTGTTTTTGTACAAAACGTGTGGCGCGTCACGAACGGATGACGAAAAAAAGCAAACAACACGACAAGAGAATTCCGAGCAGAAATAGGCAATTCGCATGCATACTTATAGAGCTCTAGATTCGCGATCAGTGATATGCGTGAATCGTATCAAAAACGATGTATTATAATGACATATCAATATAAGAGGTCTGCAGTTGCTGACGAAGAGGCAAGAGGATTACGCGATATATAAGGAAGTTTTAACGAGAAAATAAAGTAGACAAACAAAAAGTGAATCTTAGACGAGTTTTTAGGCTCTTTATATAGCTAGGAGATCGACGATTATTCCACTCGTGTCCTTTTTACTTTCATTATCAATCTCGTAATCGCGACACCTATGATATTACATAAGTTTTATTTATAAGCTTTATTTATTTAATTTATTTATTTGTGCAAAACTCTTATTTATATAAAAATATACGCGTATATTAACAATTGTTGGAATAATAAAGTGTCAATCATTCGGAAGGATAAGCAAAACTTGCAATTGTATTGTCAATGATATATTAAAGTGATGATGATCAATTATACTTTTGTAGTGGAAGAGCTAAGAGATCTCAGCCTTTATAAAGTGACATTACTTAGACGTTGAGTAGTCAGAAACTTGTATGCGACTTTATGTAATGAGTTTAATCCGTTTCATTTAAATAACCATATCGTTAGTGTCATACAACGAGCGCCTTAACATATGCAAGATGAAGAAAAGAAACGAGAAGAAAAAAATAATGACCGAACAAATTTAAATGCAATTTTAGCCCTATAAATTTATAGGATATGAATCTAACATTACTAAAAAAAGAGAGAATGAATAAATATAAAAGTGATGATGGATCAATAACCAGACGTATACATACATATATATATATATCTCTCTCTCTTTCATGTATACACACTAAACTACCTTGAGACCATTTAGACTACTCGAGAGTGTATGCTACTCGTACTCAACTTTTTACGTTTCTTTCATTCGATTATTACCACTCATGGAAATGTGATATTGATTATTCGATAACACTATTTACCCATTAAAATTGTATTATAATGTTTGACTTATTGTCCACCTTATCCTTCCCGAACCTCGTTTACATTCCACTTTCTGATCCTAATTGTTTAATTTTAGAAACATTAGCATTACAAATGTATTAACTCAGCTGTAAGAATAAATTTTATAATAGTAAAGTAAAAGTATATAATCAAGATTAGATGAAGATTATAATCATTGAACTAGAGCAGATAATTGCAAATATTTTTCAGTAGTACAAAACTTATATATACATACGCATAACAGTTTTAGACACTTTATTTATTATTCTAACGTCATTTTAATTATCGTTGTATTACTTAATACAGAACAAGTCATTTTGATTAAGAATTATATTTGTATAAGTAATAAATTTTATTGAAAAATATAAACATTGCACGATTTAGTTTATTATTTTATGGAATAATGCCTCGAGAGGAGTAATTTGGCCGCAGATTCGTCGCGCCCACATCGACAAGGTACGTAAGACTATATATATTTTCGATCGATTGACGGCGTTGCAGTAAGATCGAAAGTATTTCAAGTTTTTATGTTGTTAATGAACTTTAGCAGTCGGTTATTAATGTGGTGTAATCAGTAAGAGTGCTTGTGTTTCCAGTGGAAATAGTCGTTGAAATGTTGCCAGTAGCTCGAATAGAATCGATTGACCACATCGTTAGCATCCATAACCATAGAAACTTAGCGAATTAATTGAGGAGGTTCCTGGCTATGAACGTAGATCAATGTTTACTTCTGCAAGCTATCTCTCATAACACCACTGGTGCAAATATCAATTCGCGTAACAAACTGGTTATTTCTTAATTTTTAACTGTACCCACAACGCTTTCAACCAAAACCATCGCGCAACTGGTTCAGAGATAGTCTGACAAAGCTTCTCTCTCTCTATCTCTATCTCTATCTCTATCTCTATCTCTATCTCTATCTCTATTTCTCCCTCAGTCAAAGAGTCAAAGTAGGGCATCCTGGCGAATCTCCGCAAGTGTCTTTGACTCGGAAATTCGCTGTGCTCATTACGATTCACGCGAGTCGGAGACTTATCGGAACACCGTTGTTGTTATTGTTGTCGTCGTCGTCGTCGTCTAGCCCCCCTCACGATTTTGCAAGTGAAATACAAAGGCGAAGCCAATCGGCGCTGCCAGCGAGCAACGCGCATAAAAAAGTATAAAGTAACAGCCTCGATCGAGCGAGAGCCGAGAGAAAAACGACGCGCGCGAAAGCTATCCATCGCTCAAAGCGGAGATAAATAAAGGGCGCCATCCTCTCGGCTTTAAATCATTAAAATCATTCTGTTTGCCCGTTCCGATGGAGCGCGAGAGACTTGCTCCTTTCTCGTTGAATATTTCAAGGCGAAAACTTAGAAGACGCGGGATTTGAATAATCCATTTGCCGCTACGCGACTAACCTCGTAGTGGAGCTTAAAAAGCCGTTTTTTCGTGAAGAGGCCCCATTTGAAGTAACTCCAGAAGTCGAATTTCTCGTGTTTCAAGCAATGCGGTTTCGAGTTCATTGCGGCGCGACTATTTTTTTCTTTTTTGGGTTAAATTTGTCAATCAATGCGAGACAGGCGTTTGCAATTGTTCAGAGTAGGATTTGTCGGTACGCACCGAACGAAACAATCGCTTCATGAGAGCACGAATCCATTTGAGAGCCACTGGTCAAGGTAGGGACGTGGCAATCAAACGGCAGACGTTAGCGCGAGGTAACAAGCGCGCGTCGCGCGGTCTCGTCCGTTTTCTTTCTTGAAAGAACGATTTGAATGTTTGACGTCAATACGCGATCGAAATTCAGCTTCTGTTCGCATGGGAAAATTCATGCACGTCTCCACTGCAAGTCAGACAAGCAAAAAACAAAAATAACGCAATCACGCAAAAGGTATAGTGACGCAACCGAGCCAACGAAACTCGGTATTATCTTGGCAAAAGTCTCATGTGCACGTTACGTGCTATTTATTATCTTGCGGCAACGGAAAAAAGCTGCTGCTCTGGAGGATTCTCGTTCACGCGTTCTGTCACATATACGCAAATACTTATGTACATAAAGCTTGCGGAAAAAGCGTGTTGTCATGCTGTCGATCGGCGCGCGCACCTTTTGCCGAATTCCATTTTGAGGTGCCAGTCAGATAACAGAATGAGGAGCACTCTCAAAAAAGTATAATGCGGCTGTCTGGCCCGCGAGGCGACCCGCAAGTAGAGAAAGTGAAAGTCGCCGCGCTGCTTCTGCTCTCCCTCTCTTTCTCTCTACTCTCGCGCTCCCCGCTGCTGGCTCATACCTAACCTAAAAATAAAGCTCTTGCGGGGGTTGCAGAGGACGATGTCGCCGCGGCAACACCCGGGTATGACATAATCGGCAATCATTCGGTGTACGACGTCTACAGCGGCAAAGACGACAAGAATGGCTGAGTCATTGCTCAACGTTGGCTCGTTACCGCTAAGATCCCATTGGGCCGACGAGCAACAACAGCAGCATCAGCAGCAACAAGAGTCGAAGAACGCCAGCAACAATGACTCGGAACAGAGTAGCGGAGACAGCAGCGACGAGATTAGCCACGACTTTGGTTGCAAACCTAAAAGTTGGAACGAGCTGAGGGGCGTCGTTAGCGATCTCCGAAGGCGTATGTCCGGCATGTCCGCAGGCTCAGTACCTGGCTCCATCACCTTCAGGTCCTTGCCCGACGGAAGGTATTTTTCCACTGCTTACATTTGACTTTTCGCGCGCTACCAAACTAACGTCTGTCAATCGCTTTCGGCATTTGGTAATTTCGTCAGGGAATTTCCATGAACTGAGGCGTTCGGAAACCATCTGTTGACCTACAATTTGAAAACATTGCTAGTGACGAGAATTTATGGCATCGTGTTAAGTAATTGGAAACGGCCAATAATGTAGCTCTATTTCTTGCAGGATAAGAATATATTTCTTGAGCACACCAAGTAATGGCTGGGAGACAACACTTTTATACGTAGATGTAGCTCATTCGGATCATGCCAATGGCTACCGCTTGCAGTGGCAACCTGTTATAGAAGCTAACTTTCAGAGGTAGGTGTTTGTGTTGTGTTGATTACTAACAATAGACAAGTTGCTGTAATATCTACTATAACTTTTAGTATCTCCAGTGTCAATCAATTGTCCAAGGAAGAGCAGTTGCTCTCAGAGAGAAAAAGACTAGTGACGTGGGGTATAACCAGTTATGAAATACATCCAGATAGTGGAAAATTAGTCTTTCCTGCAGCAAGCAGTCTATATCAATGTGTAGACAGTGGTTTTGTGGTAAATAATCTAATTACATCTCATACACAATTAATACTGAAATTCTATTTCATAATTTGATGTTTTTTTGTAGTCTGGACCTCTTTTTCCATCTGAGCTTAGAATGTCTACTTCTGGTGCAAAATTATGTCCACAAATATGTCCTTGGAATAATGCCTTAGTTGCTCACACATGTGCTGGAGATATACACTTGTCTCATAGCATTACAGGATCCTCAGTAAGATTGACGCATGCCAGAAAAGGTGGCAAAAGTTTAGCTGACGACCCCCTAAGCGCTGGAACGCCTTCATATGTAATGCAAGAAGAATTTACAAGGTAATTTATGAAATTTCCCTTGATTTCTTTTAGTAGAGTTCATTCAGAAAAAATTCAATTACAATTTTGTTTTTAGGTATATAGGTTATTGGTGGCAACCCAAGTCTCCTGATGGTATTTACAGGATAGTCTACGAAGAGGTAGATGAAAGTGATGTGAAAATATTTTGCTTTCCATCATCAGAAGGCTCTCATGATGTTGATGAATTCCGATTTCCTCGAGCCGGCACGCAAAATGCGAAAAGTAATTTGAAACTGGTGCAATTCAAAGTGACAGAATCGTCACAAATCATCGATGTAGAAACCCTTGAACTTCAGTATCCATTGCAGCATATGTTCCCGTGGATGGAATATCTGGTCAGAGTTGGTTGGATGCGAGATGGTCGACAGTGAGTAAATTTTACATTTTTTAATAATCATTGAATGGTTGTATTGATTTTGTTGTTGTATTTTTTAGCATATGGCTTCAATTATTAGATAGAAAGCAGCAAAGACTGGAGTTAGTTCTACTATCAGTAGATAACTTTTGTGAACCTCCACCAAATGTATACAATTCAGAAAATCATTTTACTCCATCCTCGGCGTCCGTACAGGTGATCTATTCGGAAACCAGTCAACACTGGATAAATGTTAATGACTTGCTCCATTTCCTGCCATCAGACGATCCAACAGAAATAAAATTCATTTGGGGCAGCGAAGAGACTAATTTTAGACACCTGTATCTTATTACAGCTAGCATAGCTGGTAAGACGATGATATTTTCAAATAGTTTTTCTTATTATGAATAATGAATAGTCAATGAAGCTTTGTTTGATGTTTAGGTTCTGGAAATGAAGTCGAAGAAACTTTGGATCGATTGGATAGCGCATTTATGCAACCACGTATATTATCGAAAGTAGCTCTAACACAAGGTGACTGGGAAGTTCTTGGACGAGAAATATGGGTAGACGAAGCCAACTCAATTGTTTATTTTGTTGGCCTAAGAGAAGGCCCGTTGGAACAACATGTTTACGCCGTATCCCTTCACCGTCCATTAGAAATTAGATTACTCACAAGGCCCGGTTACAGCTACAATAACGTGTATTTTAACAAAGAATGTGCGATGATGGTGGCTGTATACAGTTCGATAAAAACCTTGCCCGCGTGCCAAGTATGTGAAATACTTTGAAGTTGATATTTTTAATTTGAATTAATACTCTATTGTTTTATTTTAGGTATTCCGAATATCGCAATCTGATTGGACAGTGGAAAATATATCTCTTACACCTGTTGGATTTTTACTTGAACCATCGACACCAGAGTCGGATCTGTTTGCTCCGGAAATTTTCTCACGCAAAATTTCTTCAGGAGATCTGATATACTCGATGATATTCAAACCGCATAATTTCAAGCCTGGAACAAAGTATCCGACTGTTTTAAATGTTTATGGTGGTCCTGAGGTTCAGTTAGTGTCCAATACGTTCAAGGTATAACTATTTTATTCACCAAATCAAGATCTATTTTGATTATCTTATTTAACTAATGATATCGTTATTTCAGGGAATGAGGCATCTCAGAATGCACATGTTGGCAGCGCAGGGTTACTGCGTGGTATCCATCGATTCGCGAGGTTCTCATCATCGAGGAATTGCATTTGAAAGTCATTTGCAACGGAAAATGGGAACTGTAGAGCTGGTTGATCAAGTTGAAATCCTTCGCTGGCTGGCCGAGACGACTGGTTACATCGATTTGAGTCGTGTCGCAATTCACGGTTGGTCTTATGGAGGCTATTTGAGCTTGATGGGTTTAATTCAGTACCCCGATGTGTTCAAGGTATTATTGTAACATGAAATTTATTTTTTCGTTAGATTTTTTACAAATGAATTATCAACTGATGAATTTTCAGGTATCCATTGCCGGCGCTCCCGTAACATCTTGGTATTTTTACGACACAGGCTACACGGAGCGGTACATGGATCTACCTCAAAACAACGTTCATGGCTACGTTAACGGTTCGGTTTTGACCTACGTCAATAAATTTCCCGATGAAGAGAATCGTTTATTGATCATTCATGGATTGATAGATGAGAATGTTCACTTCTTTCACACCAGTCAGTTAGTTAATGCTCTTGTGAAGACTGGCAAGCCATATCAGCTGCAAGTTTACCCTAATGAGAGGCATAGTCTCCGAAGTTTAGATGCTAGTAAACATTACGAGACAACTCTTCTCTCATTTTTACAAAATCATCTATAAATGTTCGATAGCATCACCTTATACGTACAGTCCAACCCCTCCTTTGAATTTGTAAAATTTTTGATGAATAAGGAAGACAAAGCGAGAGAAAGGGTGAAAGTGAGAGAGATACGAGCAACATTGTTGTTATGCTAAGCAATGAAAGTAACTGCCGGAAATTTATGTACATAGAATTTGAATATTGAAATATTCAATTTTAGTTTTTCTTCAACTAATCGTCGTAAAACGAACGATTGGTAGATTCTAATCCAAGACGAGATTTCTTTTTTAAAGACTTAACAGTATTACTTATATAATATAAAAAAAACTTTTTAATAAAAATCTTGCAGCAATGTAGACTTATAAATTGGTTTTCTTTGACAGCATTTAGCTGATGATTTTAACAAGACTTTGCTTTTGTAACAATGTCAAAAGTTTTCTCGTCAATGTTTATTAAGTGTGGTGGTTGAAATTCTAATTTTTTTAATTGTAAATTGCCTGAAATGATGATAGGCTCTAAATAAAATATGTTAGCCTTTAAAATTGTGTAAACGAGCCCGTTGGTTTTTAAAATGACAATGGACAATACTCGCAAAACTCTGTACAATACATTTATACATAATATAACACTAAGATCATTGACTTTTTTTAATGTCTTTTCCAATTGTACTTATTTGCAATTTTCGTGTAAACATATGTGCGTGCGATCTAATGATTTATAATATTTTTATGTTAAACTTAATATATGTAATTGCAAGTAACTAATATTTTTTATGACAATGATAATTCATAATCAAAGTATTTTTTTTGAAAGAGGCAAACATTTGTTGCATTTTTGTGATCGACAGATATCTAACGTGGTTGGTTAAGTATGATTTATAATCAATAAACCTCATATTTTATGAAATGTGTTTGGAATTTTTTCCTTTGCCGCTATCTAAAAAACAATTAATGCAGTCCCAAAAAAATCAAGAGTATTTTCAAAGTTAAGCTATTTTATTCAGACATTTAAATATATTTTATTTATTACTGTAAAAAGTTTTAGTTTTTCGGTTCATAAATTTATAAAGATAACGTATACGCTTTTCTAGTTCCTTCCACTTTGTAGGTCTAGCCAGAGGGTATACACCACGTTTTAACATTTGTCTTTTTTTCAACAAAACATGATATTCAGTTCCTTTCACTCCTCTAAGCCAAGCGGGAACGTTGTACATTATTTTTGTAACTTTTATTGGTTCCTCAGCAAGAATATCAATGTAATTATTGATACCAAATAATGCTTTTCTTTGAGTCCAGGCATTTTTTGGACGATATATTGGTAACTCAATTACTGGCTTGTTTCCACCAGTATGAGCCAAAGTACCTGTCTGATCAATTGGATCTTTGTATCCATATCGCCTCACTATTCTTGGCCGGTCGGCCCAATATCGAAAGCGAACTGCTGTGATTTGAGGCACCCACGCTTTCCAAGCAGTTGATACAAAACTCGTCAAGCTGGACATTACGTATATCTACAAATATAAATGTAGGCACTATTGTAGTAACGCAATCTTTGAAAATGTCATTGTTAAAATCTTTCGGTACATAACATAACTTTAACCTCAAAATAATTTGCTTCGATAAACCGTTATAAATTACGAGTTTAGTCATGGATATACTAACACAACAACTTACATTTTGTGTGATCTTCTAAAACTTATCAAAAATTGCTATCAGCAAATTGGATATCACATAATCCTTCTACGAAATAATCAATAAAATATTTATCAGCAATGCACACACACGAGTTGTCCATCATTCGCCATATTAGAAAAACGTCTAGCAGAAGAGCGAATATATAAACCGCCAATTACCATATATTCTGCTAAATTATGTTTATTATGTTTATTTGTTATTTTCAATATTAACTTACTATTAAATTTTTTTATATAGGTTTGTAGGTACTTCAAAATATAATTATAAAGTCCTTTCTATTAAAATAAATATGTATTTATTTATTATTATTTTAAAAGACTTAGTTGAACAATTATTTTACATATTTACATTGGTGAAAATATAATCTCAAGACTCAGTTATTCAGTTATTCAGGTTCACTTCTACAGATGATTGAGATACGTCTTAACTTGTTTATGGGCTTCCCTTGATAAATTGATTCCTGTTTACTTAGGATCTCATGATTATATTTGTGTCGAGCAACTCCTTTCATAATATACAAAGATCTTCTTGGTATAAAAAAGTCATCCCAATATTCTTTTTCGTGTCCAACACATGTAAGTCTCATAATACTCTCACTCAATAAACTTATTGTTGCAATTATTTCACCACAAAACCTGCTGCTATCAACATGAGGCTTTATCCAACCATCTTCTGCAAGATCTAATACATGTACAAGACCAAGCTGTGGCATATCTGGTGGGAAAGCTTTCTTTCTGATTTTTGTTATTATTTTTGAATTTTCTTCATTCCATTTAGGGAATTCAGTTTCTCGATACCCGTGAATCATATTGTCCCAGTGAGCATACTCATACCTCATACGTTTAAGATATGGTTCAACTTCGTTAAGTAAACTCTTCTCTTCGTATTCTGTAATGAAATTTTCATAAATAGCCATTGTAGAATGAAGTTTTTCTTTCCAATCTTTGAAGTCTTCATCATTTTTATCTTTAATTGATGGACTGTTGATATTTGTGCTGCATAATTGAATAAAATTGGGTGGTAATTTCAATAATTTCCACTTGGGATGAAATGTTTTTATTAACATTCTCATATCTGTTGATCACTGCAAAATAATCATTAACTTAAATGTGATTTATTAAACTAAAGTTAAATCCTTGACATATTTCATTTACAAGCTGCAGAAACATTTGTGTTAATTAAAAAAAGTAAGCATTTTAGTTAACTATATCTAACCTAAATTATTTACTGTACCTAATATTTATTACTACTAACTTATTTGTTATACCTATTACTGCACTAGATAGGCAGGTATTTATTGCAAGAAAGTTATACACATTGCACTTTATGCCGGTTTTACGTGAAACTTATACAAATTTCTTTAAAATGAGTCATGAAGTACTCATGTAACATGTTGTACATGCAATGTATGTAGAAGTAGAACAGTGTATGTAGTACTATAGGTAGCTCTAGCTTCATGCTGTTTTCTGTCTTCTGGTTTGATACTGGTGCAGGCGATAGTGTGTATACTAATTACACAAACGTTTAATTCGATTTAATATTGAAAGTAGTGGATGAATAAAAATTTTTCAACTTACAAAATGACGATAGTATCTGTGTTAAGATATCCATTGAACTTTGTGAGGGTGTCAAGGCTGCCATCAGTTACTTTAGAGGTAATCATTTTTAAGTTTTTGTAGAGGTTAAGTTGATTAAATTTAGAAATAAATAAAAATTTAGTTTAAAGATGTATTAAATTATTAAATTACAACGAAGAAGACTCTATTTATTTTCTTATTTTTTAGATTAAAGAACGATGTATGTCTAATTATGCAAAATATGCAGAGCATAAACCTATTGAAAAAGTTAGAAACATAGGAATTTCAGCTCATATTGACTCTGGTAAAACTACTTTAACAGAACGTATTCTGTTTTACACTGGAAGAATTGCTGAAATGCATGAGGTAATTAATTATTGTTAATAGTATATGGTAAAAATTAGAACAGTATTTTTCTAATGACAATTGTCTATAGGTGAAAGGTAAAGATAATGTTGGAGCTGTTATGGACAGCATGGAACTGGAAAGACAACGTGGAATTACTATCCAGTCAGCAGCTACCTATACTATATGGAAAGATTATAACATCAACATTATAGATACACCAGGCCATGTGGACTTTACTGTAGAAGTTGAAAGATCACTTCGTGTACTGGATGGTGCAATTTTAGTTTTGTGTGCAGTTGGAGGAGTACAGTCACAAACATTAACTGTTAATAGACAAATGATGAGATATAATGTACCATGTGTGGCTTTTATTAACAAATTAGATAGAATGGGAGCAAATCCAGTGAGAGTTTTACAGCAGATGAGAGAAAAATTAAAGCATAATGCTGCTTTTCTTCAACTACCAATTGGCAAAGAAAGTGATACAACGGGAGTGATTGATCTAATTCGTATGAAAGCCTTGTATTTTGAGGGTACCTGTGGAGAGATTGTTAGGTCTGATGAAATACCAAAAGATATGACATCAGGTAATTAAATTTTATTAAGTGTAATTGATTAATTTTATGAGTCATATTACATATATCAAATTTTTTTTAAACAGTTGTTGAAGCACGAAGACAGGAACTCATTGAGCACTTGAGTAATGTAGACGAAGCTCTTGGAGAACTATTCTTGAATGAGTCTAGAATTACAGAAAAAGATATAACTGATGCTGTTAGAAGAACATGTTTAAAAAGAACATTTACTCCTGTTTTAGTTGGAACAGCTTTGAAAAATAAAGGTGTCCAACCATTGCTTGATGCAGTAATAGACTATTTACCAAATCCTGGAGAAGTTGAAAATGTTGCATTCTTACAAAATGATAAGGAGTGAGTATGGTGAAATACACTGGATCAAAGAATTTTCTTAAATCTAAAGGATTATTTTACATTTTAGAGATGAGGAACCTGAAAAAATAATTTTGAATCCTGAACGTTCAGATAAACATCCATTTATCGGATTAGCATTCAAATTGGAAGCTGGAAAATTTGGTCAATTGACATATTTTCGATGTTATCAAGGAATGTTGAAAAAGTCTGACAGTATTTTCAATACTAGAACTAAGAAGAAGGTACAGGTTCAACAATTTTATCAGAATAAATATTGCATATTTACGTAACATTTCATTTGAAGGTTCGAGTAGCACGATTAGTACGGCTTCATTCAAATACAATGGAGGACGTAAACGAAATCTATGCGGGAGACATATTCGCATTGTTTGGCGTTGACTGCGCTTCTGGTGATACGTTTACGACAAAGGGCGATATACCAGTTGCCATGGAATCAATATTTATACCAGATCCAGTCGTTTCCATGTCTATTAATGCTAAAAATGCAAAAAACCGTGATAACTTCGCCAAAGCCATCGCTAGGTTCACGAAAGAAGATCCAACATTTCGTTTCGAATACGATCCCGACAACAAAGTAAGTTATTAGAGATAATGCACAATTATATTTTGTGAATGAAATTATCTCTAAAATGATTGTATCTACTTGGAGGAAAGTGTTGTTTCTGGAATGGGCGAGTTGCATTTGGAAATCTATGCTCAACGTATGGAACGTGAATATGATTGTCCAGTCATACTTGGTAAGCCTAAAGTTGCCTTCAGAGAAACCCTCACAGCACCTGTCGAGTTTGATTATCTTCACAAAAAACAGACTGGTGGTGCTGGCCAGTATGGCCGTGTTATAGGAGTTCTAGAGGTAACGATCAATACCTTTAAACTGGCCGTTGACTCTTGTTTCCACGTTTATTAAAAGTAATCTATTTTTATCAGCCTCTACCACCTCATAAAAATACCACTTTGGAATTCTCCGACGAAACAGTGGGTACGAATGTTCCAAAACAATTCGTACCTGGTATACAGAGAGGATTCTTGTTTATGTGTGAAAAAGGTCTGTTGTCGGGTAACAAGTTGTCTGGTTTGAAATTCAGACTGATAGACGGCGCGAATCATATTGTCGACTCGTCAGAACATGCATTCTTCTTAGCCGCTCAAGGTGCTATCAAGCAATGCTTTGATAACGGAGTCTGGCAAATTCTCGAGCCCATTATGTTGGTTGAAATCACCGGTCCTGAGGAATTTCAGGTAGTTCATCCTTTAAATCAATTGATTTTACTGATATTTAGCGTGAAAAAAAAATGAATTTTTATATTTTGAAATCAGGGTACAGTGATGGGCCAGTTAACTCGTAGAAAAGGACTGATTCAAGGGATCAGTGGAAGTGAAGGATGGTTCACAGTTTACGCAGAGGTACCGTTGAACGAGATGTTTGGCTACTCCGGCGAGTTGCGCTCATCGACGCAAGGAAAAGGAGAATTCACGATGGAATATGCGAGATACAGTCCTTGCGCTCCCGATGTTCAGGAGCAGTTGATATTACAATATCAGGAGGCTCAGGATATTTTGCAGCAGAAGAAAAAGAATTAAGGCATTGTAGTTGTATATTTAACTTTTAAGTATTTTTTTCGGAGAAAAGAGGCTTTCTTTCATTGACGGTAGTCGAACGAATAATTGTGAAAACTCACAGAGCCAATACATTTTTTCTTTTTCCTCGTGCATTTACGCACTGTGCTTCATATTACTAAAGGACGATCACAACACATGTTTCCATAAAAGACACGATTTATAATCGTTATCGTAAATCAATTTTGTAAATAAACAACAGTGAATTAAGTTAGTTTTCAAATATAGAGAATTACATCATTCTCAAAGAGTGTACATAATTATAATTAAGTTACAGGATAACAAATGATAGTTTTAACAATCATCTTTTATCGAGATTATAACATTGAAATAAAATTAATTGTTATTTTAATAAATGTTGTTTGTTGAATATATCAACCAGTGTCCCACACTCATAGTCTGGAACGATCATACATGCGCTTTTCACATGAAGATTACTCAATAGAATTAACAATAAAATATAAGCAACAATATATTATTTTCATCAAACAACTAGTTTCTCGAACCGATGTGTAAGCACAAAAATGCAACGTACGACTAAAATATGAAGTCTATTAGAAGTTTGCTCGCCCGAACGTATGATAAAAAAAACGAGTAAAGAGTGAGAAAGAGAGGGAGAAAGGGAGGGATATAAGCGGTAGACGTACAAGTCACTACATGCGATAATAAATGCTTCACGATATGTGAGATAGTGGTATAGTCTCAGTTGCTTAAAGATCGGTTGCGTAGCCCTCCACGACGATACCGGGCGCAAGTTCGGCAGTCACGCTTTCAGCGTGGTTGGCGTTACTTTCGCCGCCGCCGCCGCCCCAAGCACCACCGCGTCCGTACTTCTCGGACATGCGCACCATTTCGTTGGGGCTCCACTCTGGCGAGGGTGATCGGTTTCTTGCTGCAGTGCCTCCAACACCACTACGGTAGACCACATTGGAGTCCGAGCGGAAAGTTGAACCGCCACCGCCGTAGCTGTCGTAAACGGGATTACGCTTCATTGAGTTGCGCTGATGACCTGTTTTTCGCAGCATTGCCTTTGAGAAAAGCACATTTGACATTAAACCTTATCAAGTCTAATAATTTTAGCAGCAAGTGCAATGCTATACCTGGAAGTTGAAGGGCGGATCGTCCTCGTCGTTGTTGTTGCTTTTTCGACCGAGTGCTTGTAGCTCCGCTATTGGATTGACACTGAGGCAAGAGTTGAACGCAATTAGTAATCGATTGTCTCTATTACATTAATAGTCAATTCAATCGACGATTTACCGATCGTTATTGAATGTATTTTTGTTCATCCGATCGTCGGCTGACCAGTCACTTGCATTCTTATTACGAGTCTCAGTATTGTAGCTATTGTAATTTCGCGGTTTAATAGGCTGCATCGGCATTTGGTTGCTCGGGATAGGGGGTGGTGGCACTTTCTTTCTAGAGCGGATGGACTCAGTATTATCATAGTTGTTCTGAAACACAGATGTCAAGTAGAAAGCGTGCAAGTATCATGTTCAGTAGTTATATATGAGTATGGTCAGGCGGGACGAGAAGAAATGGTTTTGATTGGCGAAAACGACGTAGGGAACTTACTGAGCGAGGTGTATGAGCGTTAAACGGTCTAGCGGGGATGCGATCGTCGTTGGGCTGGGCGGAGCCGGTCGCTCGGGTGTGGTGAGCTTCGGCCGGTGGCAGGTGCACTGGGACACTGGGGTCCCTGGAAAATGGAGTGTTGATCAGACTCTGTCCACCGCTCATCGTGGGGTTTACAACGCGGTGCGGCGAGTTGGTCGTTTGGCATTGTACATCTGAAAATCAAAGAGTTCGCGCTCTGGAGAAAAAGAGTCTCTTTTGTCGGCTGCGCACAACACAGCTTGCTCGCGTTTCTTTTTATTCCCAATTTTTTTATTTTTTTATTGTCAATTACCAAGTCTGGTGCATTGAATTTACACGGAGCGGGGTAAGCTTGCGGGCATTATATTCGCTAAGAGAGATAATTAGTTACTTAGAGAGAATGCAAATGATAATGAACTATATAGAAATATCTATCAGAGTGTTATTGCTGCAACTCCAATATCATTACAGAGTCAAAAGAGTTCTAAGCAAAAACAGCAGAGCCATAGTTGAGAGAGAAGTAAGTATGGATTTAATTGAGTGCAAGAGAGAGAGAGAGAGAGAGAGAGAGAGAGAGACAGACAGAGAGAGAGAAAGAGAGGGGGGGGGGTAGAATTAGAAAAAAAGTATAGTGAAACAAAACTCATGAGAGATGATAGAATAATGAACTGGTGTCGTTGCTCTTCGTTGCACGCTCTCCGGCAATCAAGTGATATATGCACCTCTCTTGTTGCGCCGGATGTTGCCCCAATTCGTTTGCCTCCTTAATGGCTCGTCCCAATTCTGCTCGTCGTCCGACACCGAGGACGAAGCGGATCTGCAGAACGTATTTTCTGGATAATACTGTTCTCTTGCCGAACTTACCTTTCGTTCTTTTAAAGTTTTTTTTATAATAACCAACGCTTTTTTTTTATGAACACGTAAAAAAATAAGAAAAACAAATTTGATGAGTATTGATCTTTTTCAATAAATGACAGTTCGTATTCTTATAAAAATTGCTAATTTATATAACCGACAGAGGGCAGATTTGAAAAAGAAACAATCGATACTTACTTGTCTTAAAAAAATCGAATTACAATGATACGAAAGGTCAATGAAAATCATTTGTAAGGGAAAAAGAACCGAGCAGAGTTTGTGACAAAGCTTACCCTTGCCTCCTGACGCGGGGCATGGATGGATCAGTCATGCGTGATGTGTCGTAGAAGGGCAATTCGCTGTGAACGTCGAATGGTAGCTTATGAACTTCTGGCGGTCGCACGGGGCCAAGGAAGGTGGCTGGATTTGCATGTGGGTCGATTCTTTCGAGGGGCACGCGCTCGTTACTCGCTTGCACTGCCCCTACTACCGCCTGATTGTACAGATGCACCTGGCGACATTCGATTCGTTGACAAGTCGTCCACCGCGAAATGCAATCGTTCTGTGCTCGCTCGAGCAACACTGACTTGCTGAGAAAAATGAACGAGGTCCTGGTATCGGGCTGCACGGTACTGTAGGAGGACTTGGAATATGCTCTTCGAGCGCCATTTGCTGCTGTAAAACCTCATCATGTCTTCCGTGTCCGGATCCATATTCATGTCCTTGTTCAGAAGGGATCCTGTTTCCTTTCGTACTTGGTGTCCGCGGTAAGCTGAAACACAACGCCAAACCGATACAACTTCCTGCATGTCAATCGCGTCGCAAGTACGATGATATATGAGGCGAGCAAAATCTAATCGGGAGCAGTCGTTATACCTTTCTGCAGTACTAACGCTGCTTCGTCTTGAGACATTTCGTGACTGGCTTGAGAATTTACTGGGACTTTCTTGCTCGGTGATGGCGGCTCTGTCTTTGCCGGTGCTTTCTTCGCTGAAACATTTCTGGTTAACCTCTATTCGTTCAAAAAATCATACGAGACAAAACATTGAAACAAAAATAAAGGTTGTTGTCGCTTTCTGTGTCTCCATATCTTTCACTTTTTCGGAGCAATATATCTAGATGTGCGAGTATACGGGTGTGTGACGTGCGTGATGTGCGCTACGAAGTATATACCTACCAGCTTCTTGCTTCCTGCCGTGGGACTTGATAGCCGTCTTGATGGTCTTGCGAGCTAAGAACGCGCGCATCATGCACTGCACCTTGACGATTTTCTTGACCTGCGTCTCGTACAATCGCGACATGTACTCCTCGTTGTAGTACTTGAGGAATATCTTGGTTTTGCCGATCATCCAGCCCTCCATCTTCAGTCTGACGAGTAGAAGTCGACAGTTGTCTTGTGTCATTTCCACGTTCTCGTCAAAGTCGAACGCCAGGAATTTATATCTATTGGTAACGGAATTGAGACGTAAAATGTGCAAACTGTCTTTTCCAATTGAAGCAGCTAACGCTAACTATGTACCTTCTCAAAAACTCCTGGAATGGTATTCTGTATGGAAAACCTCTCTGCCTAGCCCTTGCCGTGTCAACGACGGCGAGGGCGCGAATTTGCTGCTTGACAATGTCGCGATAAAAGCCGCGTGGCTGACCCTCGAGATCCGATCTGATGCATCTGACAAAGTGGGTACCACCGCTTATTGCCCCGACCGTCAGACTCTTTAGGATTTCTAGACTAGACGCGCGGAAGGTTGCTGCGTAGGTGCGCATTTTGCGCGTTTGCGAGTACTGGCCGCGCGAATCCGTGTTGTATTTCTGCGATAAGAAAGCAAACTTTGGTATTCCTTTGCGAATCCTGGAAAAAGTGTTAGAACATATGTGCTATTTGGAAAAACGCGTACTCTGAGATTCGTCTGCTCCGACTGAAGTAACAGCGCCGCGCCCCACTTACTCCTCGCGGTGGTTTTCTTCGGCTTCTCCTTTTCCTTGTCCGACGGCTCGGGGATGTGGATGGTCAACGCGCCGCCTTTCGTCAGCTTATTGGTGAAGAATTCCCTGACGGTCGCGTGCTCGGATTGTCTCAGTGTTTCGATCATCTCTGGCGGCACGAAATCGCGATTCTTCTCCGTTATTTCCGTCGCGTCGTAGAGCAACTTGCCGGTATAGTGAGCGACGGTAAACTCGTGATCGTTCTGAGCTTTGATGTGCTGTTGTTGGTTAGCACTGATGCGACGATAACTGATTCGCTCGAATACGTGAGCGGTGTCTTTGAGTTGACGAGACGCCTCGTCAAGGATGTAGAACAGACCGTCGTCTTTAGCCATCAGCTGGTCGATACAATATTTATTATCGTAGAAGTGAAATTTCTCGATTGGTATCTCTTCTTCCTCTTGTTCTTGCTATTCAACCGAATCAATTCGTTGAGCTTGTTTCTATTCCTCAAAGTTTCACGAGCGCACTTACCATTTCCCAAACGAAAACTCGTTGGTTGTAGTGGCATTGAAGCTGTTCGTTCATAGTGTTGATGGCCAATTGCTCTAGGCGGTTCTTCGAGAAGCACTCGAACCCGTACAGATCCAAGAGGCTAATGAGAAACTTGTCGCCGCTGAAAGTACGAAACAAAGCTTGTCAGCGTTCAAATATTAGCTCGCGAGCTGTAATGCTAATCACCAGATGCACTCACAACAAAGTGCGCGAGACGCTAAGCTTCCAATTGACGTTGTTAACAATCCAGTCGACCAGTCTCTGGTAAAGGGTGTTGGCCAACACGTCCCTCGACTCTTTGGCTTCGTCGCACGTCAGTCTTCTCCTGACCGCAGTTCCCTTTTTGATCAGGCAATAATTACCCAGTGACCACACAAATTTCTTTTGATCGATATGAAGTAGCTCGGCGACAGATCTCGCCGTCTCGATGTTGTGAACATCGGCTTCGCCACCGCCGCCCTCGATGAAACGCACGTCGCCGAGCATCAGTATCGCTGCCATAGTTCGCCAAATGATCTCGCAGTGCTCGTCCATCTCGAGAGCTTTCAGGCATTCCTTGATGTGCTCGAATTTCTTCGCGTTGCCGTGTGGGTCGTTGCGAACTTTGAAGGAACGACGCCGACCGCCGATCGAGTCGGAATCAAAAACGCGCAAGTAGCGCATTCGACGGCCGGTCGGTAAGAGGTATTGACGCAGGTTTCCCGAGGCCTCTAAGCCGTCGTACATGTAGTAGAACATGTGGAAATTCGACTGATTCCTGTAAGAGATCATTGGAGAGGCATCGAGGCCATGCGTTGGAAAAATATTTTCAAGTATTAATTTACCTATCCCTAGTGGATACTCGGAATTTTTCCAGCTGGTAAAGCCAGAACAAACCACCCGACGCTTTTCCAGTCGAGCCGTAAGTCGTCTGTACTTGGAATACGCATCTCGTTGAATTTGTATTCAACGGAGTTGCGGCGTTCGTGAAAGCTTGAATCAAGCTTATCGCCTTGAGCAGTCTGGCACCAGTGTCCCTCAAACCCTAACACGAAGCAGATGATGAGCATAGCCGCAAAACACTTTTGCCGTGTTCGTTCGAGGATTTACCTTTCCCAGATACATCAGGTGAGTGATACAGTGAATCATGTTGGTTGTTTTGCCGGAATTACTTTCGCCAGCGAACAAGATATGCTGCGGTTCCTCGTGGTGAAGAACATCTTGGTACGCGCTATCGGCTACCGAATAAATGTGAGCTGCATTGTCCGATCGCGATTTATTTTGATATTTCGTGTGGTACTGTTTGGGAATTGATGAAGATTAGCGACCGACCATTTCAACTAAATAGCGGCCTTGACTCACAGTCATGTTGTAGATATCCTGCTCCTCGTTCGGATTCAAAATCAGCAGGATGTCACCGATGAAAGTGTGAAAGAAGCCCAATCTTTGCCGCTCCTGCAACTCGTCGAGCACGCGATCCTCGGTAATGTTCTCCAACGCGGCCAAGTCTTCTTGGTACATGCGCTCGGGAAGCTGAGTTTGATGAGTTTTTAGATAGCCTTTGCGCACTATCGCCTCGGCTTTACGATGCTTTTTGCCTTTCTCGCCGACGTTGTTCATCAGCGCTTTTATCTCTTGCGTCAACTGAAATCGCCAATGCAGCCATTAGGATGCCCGACTTGATTGCTTTCCAAGAAATTTCCCCGACTTACCGGAAAATCGTTCTCCGGAAGCTCGGATAGGAAGGGATGCTCGACAATCTCAGCGATGAAGGGTCGGTTTTCAGGATTCTTTTCCAAGCATCTAAACAAGTCATTGAATGAGATGAAAGCTCGACTCCAGTTGGAAAGCTGCCGTTGACGAGATAACACTCAACTCAGCGATAAAATCATTGAAATTTTGCGTCCAATTGGAAGGCCTGTACAGGGTGGGCGGTGGGTTCCTTACGATTTGAAAAAGCACTCTGGTCGGATGCATATCCTGGAAAGGCGGGTTGCCGTCTCCCAGCTCGATGGCAGTGATGCCGACAGCCCAGACGTCGGCACGGCTGCCGTAACCAGGCCCTTGCTCGGCTTTGCTCAAAACGACTTCCGGTGCCATCCAGTTTGGCGAGCCTATGCACGTGTGCCGCTTGCCCATTTCGCCCTTGATCATTCGCGCCAAGCCGAAATCCACAAGTTTCACCTCGCCTTCCTTCGTCAACATGATGTTCGAGGCGCGAATGTCGCGGTGCAGCACGTTGTTCTCGTGCAGGTGTACGAGAGCCTGTGGAATTGTTTCTCAGTAGAATGACGACAGCTCGAGCCCATTGGAGCAAGAGAATCCAGTCGGCACTTTCGCAACGATCAACAGCTTTCGAATTTCAAGAGGAAAGCGAGCCACTGTTTGGCGAGAGCAGCAGGAATCCAAGGGCGGCGAAGGAGAAGACGTTTTTCGTAAAATAGCAAGTTGCGCGGTGCCTCGCTTGCGATAAGTCACGGCTGCGAAAGGATCGTTGGCAACTCGGCGTCCGATAAATCCATCGGCCGGATAATCATAAAAGTCGCTAAACTCCCAGCGTCAAAACTGGCTCGGCCTCGTTTCTCGCGCCGCGCGCGCGCGGCATCGTTACGCGAATAATTCGTCGCGGGGGCGAGAGCCAGCGAGAGAGAAATCACTTTCCTAGATTTACTGCTAATTGAACGATCGGCGAGTGCGTGCGCGCGCTGAAAAGAAGCAAAGGGAGAAAAAAGGAAGGGGGCTGCGGAGAGAGAGGGGGGAGGGAATGTTTTCGACTCCGGCCTGATTTACCGGCGAGGCGCGAGAAGAATGCCCAGCTGATTTACGCGTCTCGTTGATTTGTCAAGGAGTAAACTCCGGGGCAACGTTTCATTGCGTTATCGTCGCCTTGATTTACCGTCGTAACGGTAAGCGCGCGCACCAGGCGAGACACGCGGAGCTTTCACATTCTCCGAAACGACGTTAAACAAAGGAGAGAAAAAAGAAGCGAGCCAGAAAGAGCGAAGAAGAAGAGGAAAAAAAAAGAAATTCGTTGCTTTTCTCGCGCGGGAGAAAGAGCCCGAGAGAATGATTCCGGACTCGCGCGCTGCATTAAGTGCTTGATTACTCTTACGCGAGAGTCTTCTCGAGAATATAAGAGAGTGCAGGCAAGCTTAATTAGCGGCCCTGTCTCATTCGTTATTTACGATAGCTGCTGCACTTCATATTCTTCGTACAACGTACACACTTCGCGTGGCTTACCAGCAGCAGAGTGTGTGTGTGTGTGTGTGTACGTTTCAAAAGTCGACATGAAAATTCGATTAGCACACGGCGCGTTGTCAATTCGATTAGGCTAATTAAATAAAAAAAAAAACATGAAAAAATATTTGTCAAAGATCGGGGCAGTCCGGTATACGGTTCGTATAAAATTGTCGAAAGAGGAAATCCCACTGGATTATACCGACGTGAGAGTGGATCGGGGCGGGAGAGGCGAGAGCAAGGGAGAGAAAGAAGAAGAGCAACGAAGGGAGAGAGGAAGAGTTGGAAAAAGAGCGCAATGAAATGCGGTTAGCCGGTACCTTAATGGTTTCCCTGAGTATATAAGCGATGTGCTCCTCTCGCATTCTCTTGTCGGTCATCTGTAAGCCCCGGACGAGATCGATGACGGGGCCTCCGTCGCACAACTGCAAATAACGAAACGATGTTAAGTACGTCATTCAATCCGCTTCCCATTTCTGCCTCGAATTATTTCTCATTTAGTTTCATTCATTCTTATGCAAACAATAAGGCGCGTGCCATTATCGCTCTCGCTCGATCGTTTCGCATTGTGCTGCGTCGATTTCATTAAATTGAAACCGATAAATCTTTCACCGGGATTACGATAAATCGCACGGCGGCCTTATTTATCGGCAAGATATGCACGCGCAGCTAATTGATTTATAAAAAGTGAAATCCAAGCAAAAGCCATGACACTGTCGTCGGCAGGAGCGACGAGTGCACCGGACGCTGCGTGGCTGACGTTAATCCAGCGTTCTCTCGCCGTTGGCAAAAATAGAGCGCCATCAGCTCGCGGAGAATGTCTCTGTTGGGCCGGGAGGGGGATCGAGCCCGCGCTGGTCTCTCGCGCGGCCCGAGTGGCAATTATAGCGCACGCGGAAGTAATCAGCGCGAGGCGATGAGCTTAGAATTGAATCCGCGCGCCTGCCGCGACTTTGTGGGCCGGCCCGCGGTGGTCGTCGGCCTCGATTTGCCAACGGGACGAACGAGCTCGGCGTCCTCCCCGCGTCCGCGTTTCGGCGAACGGTAGCGTTCGCGCGAATCTATGCACGCCCGACGATAGAAGCGGCGCGCTCTCGGCTCGCGCAATCAGGCGAATAATAAATTCGGAGAGCGCGGTCAATAATGAGCCAGGCTATCATCGAGCTAATCAATCAATCAAGCGGTGCGCCTCTCGCTCCTGGCGGTAGCTTAATCGACAATGCAATGCCGAGCCGAGATTTATCGCCGGTGGTATTTCATATCGAGCGTTTACGATGAGACGCGCAGCCATTATGCGCTCCGGTGATTAATCGCTCGGATGCAGCGCGGCACCAAGTCCCGTGTATACGCATGTTTTATTGAGATTGAGCGACGCCGCGGCCGTGCTCTCTCTCTCTCGCTCTCTCTCTCTCTCTCTCTCCGCCTGTGTTTGCTTTGACTCCCTTTATTTATGCCTCCAAGATTTGTATTTGCCGCTGCCACGGCGGCCAGATGCATCTGTTAACTATACACTTGCTATTGTTCTCTCTTACAATTAGCCGCGTTTCAAATCGCTGCTCGTTCCTTAGCCAAAGTCCACTTGCGATCGTCACGCTGCTCGGCATTCCCCTTTTCTCCTCTCTTTTTCGTTAAGCGGCGCCGCCGTGCTTCGATCGAAGCGAGCTTTCGGCGTGGCGCAGCTTCGCGAAGCCGATCCGCAAGGCGTACGCAGCGATTGACAAGGCCGCGAGGCGATTAATAATCGATAGCTGTTAGGTGGTTGCTGGCATAATGGGATTCGGATGGAGCGAGCGAGTCTCTCTTCGGAGGTCTCTCGCATGGCTGGCGCGAGCCGTAAATAAGCGCTTGCGACGTGGGCCTTCGCTCCACCTGCTGTTGCCGGGCCGAACGAGTTTAATGATTGTTTAATGGGCGCGCGCGTCGTAAATTATCCTCGCTCTCGCTCTCGCTCTCTCTCTCTCTCTCTCTCTCTCTCTCTCTCTCTCTCTGTCTCTCTTTGCGAAAATTGGCTGCGCGCGTATGCGTCGGGGCCCGGGTGGGTGGATTGCGGCTGAGTTACGGCGAGTTTCGACGTCTCGCTTAGGCTTTGTTGGCGATAACGACGAAAGAGCTCGGGTCGCGCGCCATGAGAAACTCTCCTTACCTCCAACACGAACCAGATCTGGTCGTACTCTGTCTTCCTGCCGGAGCGCTTGCGGTACACCCCGTAGAAGCTCGGCAGGTTCGGGTGCTCTGAGAAGTCGCGTAGCACTCGGTACTCCTCCACTATCAGCGGCTGCGTCTCCGGAGTCAGCTTCTGAATCTTTATGGCTACTTTTCTGCCTGAAAGAACGGGCCGCCGCGGTCATTCTGCCGTTTGCCTCGCCGAACGAGTTGTCGAACAAATGGACGCGCGTCGTTTCGTTCGAAAATGGCCTATAAGCCGGCATATCGAGTGGAGCGACACTGCCACTTTCGACGCGAAACTGAAGTGACCTCTCAGCCCAGATATAGAATGTACTCACTGGCTTCCTCGTCGACGGCCTCGTAGACGTCGCCGCAAACGCCACTGCCGATGCGATCTCGCAGCACGTATCTCTTGCCGGGATCTTGGATGCTGTCGAGGCGCTGCAGCTTCTCCTGGCCACCACCGCCGCGGTCCTGATCTCGACCACCGCGTTCGCGACTGCCACCACCACCATCATCTCCTCCTCCTCCTCTTCCTCCTCCTCCGCGATGACGCCTCTCGTACTCGTAGTCCTCGTCCTCGTCTTCCTCGTCCCGGCCGCCTCGTCTCCCACCGCCGCCACGGCGTCCGTAGTCGCTCATCCTTTGGCGCCTACTCCGCGCGCTCACCGCTCAATCTGCAAATGGTTTTCGCATCTTTCACGCTCGACCGACTGTTCGTTCGAAGCCTTTTTCCACATTCCAGCCCACGACTAGTCGCCACGGATAACTCGCCAGCCAAATGCAAACGCTAGCTTCTACAGTAACAATTTTATTACCAGCAGCAGTCCGAAGACTCGTTACGTTGAAAATTGTCGACAAAGCATTTGCTGGGGGATGGGGGATTCAGGAAGGTAACGAGCCAAAGCAATTGCCGTCTTGATTCGCGTGTGAAAATGCGAGTCTAATGAAAATTGCAGTCGGCCGCGGGGATCGAGGAACTCGAGCGAAATGAAAGGTACGCGGACGGCTGCACAGCTGACGAATGGCCCTCGAGAATGGTAATCAGCTGGAGTATCATCCGTATTCCGTGCGCGCGACTTTCGATGTGGAGAGAGAGAGAGAACGACATAATTAGATCTCTCAGGAGCGCTTCGGCTGTGCGCATCCTACACACGTGCGGCGTTCGAGGTCGAGGGTTTCGTGTCGTTTCGCAAGAAGCTCGAGAGCCACACACGCGCGCGTCCTTTCCGCAGCGCGCGATGCACCTTCAAAGTCGAGTGCTAATTAGCTGTTGCATTAATGGCTAATTAGCCGGCAGCAGCTTCGACGAGAGTGCTGATCATGAATTATAGATGCCAGCGACGGCGGCGGCGGCCTGCCTATACGTGTGCCGAGCGTGTGTCTGCTGTCTTGTACCGAATTTATTATGCTCTCGCCACGGCAGCTTGGTACGGCAGCTCGCCCGCAGCCGCGGCCAGTTGCTATTGATTTTTAATTGAATTTAGCGCTGGCGTGGCGAGGCTATCGATCGGCGGCCGTCGCGACCTAGCGATGTTGCCGCCGAGCGACAAAGGCTGCCCCGAAGGCCGAAGCGCGATCGGCAGGAGCCGCGTGGGCGACGGGATTGCGTAAGGCGCAAGGCGCTTCCGGCCGCGGAGCAGCCGCAAGCCCGGCGATGAGAGAGCGCGACGAAGGGGCACAGGGCGGCGGGCAGGCCCCGCGAGAGCGAGCGCGGGAACTTGCGGGGCTTTGCCTAGCGAGCCCCGTGCACGTGTGCGCATTATCGACTCGTTCACGATTGCGCAAGTCTCGACGATGCCCAGCCTGAATGTCGATGCGCGGCGGCCGAGGGCGAGAGAGACGCGCGCGCATATAGCGTAGCTCTTCCTTGAGATCGACTTATATTATACTTGCGAGGAGAGAAGGGTTGGAGGTTCGATTAGGCTTTAATTGGATGCCGCAGTAAGCCTCGAGTCGAGGACGATCGAGCGTGCGCTTTCTTGACGGAAGGCAGCGGTCGCGCACTTTCAGTTTTGGGCACTACTGAAAGTCATGAAAGTCATGAAAGTTAATTGGCTTTTCCAGGGTTCGACTGGGGGGCAGCGTCCGGGCGCGCTCGTTACCCGTGGCGAGCGCGTTCCCAGCGTAGTGGGATTTTCTCGTTGCCTTTGAAAATGAAGATCCTCCGGGATGGCCTAACGAGGCGCTTTAATGAACGGCGATATCGTCGGGAGCTTACGCTAATCCCAGGCCGTTGGGCAGGCTGCCGCGGCACAAAAGTTCAAAGGTATTCGCGGACAAGTGAGAAGCGAGGGGGGAGGAGGGAGCTCGTATTCCCGCATACCTGCTCGGGCAGAAAAAGCTTTAATCAAAATGACGAGGAGCGAGGAGGCGCGCGGGTCGGCGGCCAGGAGACAGGTTTCTCGGTACACGTGTCGCGCCTCGCTCGCATAAATTAGATCAATTTGGCGGGCGCTCGGCGGGGCGCTTTTTGCCGGGCGATCGGAATGCGCGCCGCGCTCCCGGCCGCGGGAAGGGAGGCCTCGGGGCCGACCGGGCGGAGAGCGGCCCGCGCGAGGGTGCATATTCAGAAGGTGGAAAGCACTTGCGGGCGTCGGCGCGAGGCGTTTGAAGTAAGCTCACCTTGTCGCTCGTCGCTGTCGCCTCTGTGCCCTCTGCCGCGGCTGCGGAAGCTCGCTCCCACGCGCGCGCGCGCGCACGCGAGAAAGCTCGTGCCAGCGCGTCTAATTAAGACGTCTGCCGCCGGGGGCTGCCGCCTCGAGACTGGCGCGCGCCACCCGCAGAAGGGCTGCTGCTGCCGCCGCTGCTGCTGCTGCCGTCGCCGCTGCCGGAGCTCTCCAGGCTTCCATGATCCAATAAGGCCGGCTTAATTAACTGACTGTCGACTCGCAAGCCTGTTAGCTCATTGATTTGCCGACCTATAGCGCGCTGGCGCGCTTCCTCTCCCCCCGCTCACCTGTGTTTTTCCACTGCATGTGCGCGCTCCTTTTTCGATTCTCCGCCGCGCGGCAAATTGGGCGAGCGACATCGATGCTCGACCAACGCCTACGTGACCTGCAGCAAGCGACGCGCACGCGATCCACTTTCGCCGCGGAGCCGACCACCACCGCGTTTCATCCGCCTTACCATTGTTAATCTGCTTGTTCCCGTTTTGTCTGTCGCACGCCGACCCGTCGAACGTGTTGCTTTGAGCCTCGACCGAACACGCTGCTCTCTTATCCTGGCTCGCGGATTTCACGCACGTGTCCGACGAGTGCGCAGTGCAGCGCGCATGCATTGAACTTTCGACGGTCGATGTTGACCAGTCTTTCGGGATTTGTCCCTTCGTTAAACAATCTTTGATCACATACACGAAATATCTACGTTGATCATAAGAAATTGTCTGTCGATAAATGGTTTTTTTTGTACCACGGTCATTCTGGAGCCGACTACGAGAGAAAATCGAAGTACGAAGAGAAATTACCGAACGGATTATCGACAGCCACGAGCCGACAGTCGAAAGCCAAGACTGAAACTCGTATAGCTTTCGAAAAACGCACCGACGTGAAAAAAGTCGCGACCATATCGAGTATTCCCATCTATCTTTTCTTCGCGAAGCGGCGATCGAGCTCGTCCCGATGAGATTCACGAGCGCTTAATTAAAAAGAAAAAAAAAGAGCAGGCGAGAGCTGTCCAAGTGTCGCCGGGAGTCGCGTACTCGATCGCAAGAAAAACTCAGAATACTAATGCCGTGCGATCCCCGGAGAAAAAAAAACGACTCGCGAGATTAACAAATCGATTCCGCTCCCTTAAATTAGCCCGTCACTTTATTTTTCTTTCTTTTGCCTCGTCCTCATCCGATTCCCGGCTAATTAGCGCGACACACTGTCGTGGTCATCGATATCGAACGTAAACGAGTGTGAGAAAGGTGGATGCAGAAGACACAAACAGTAGACTTGGCAATGAATTTAAGGAACTGTCTTTATTGTACGCATTATAATACAGATTCGTTGCGCAGCCGAACCACCAAATATCGAGATTCCCACGCTGCGTTCATTACTAGTAATACTGCAGTGGAGGCGTTATACACTTTGAATGGAAAAATTAAAAATAGTAAAAAAATACAGACAAAGAGGAGGGAGAGAGAGAGAGAGAGAGAGAGAGAGAGAGAGAGAGAGAGAGAGAGATGTCGTTAATCAACAGTTACACAAATATATTACAAGCCCGCTTACAGCGCCTACGTATGTGTACGTACTTGGTGTGAGTGTGTGCGTTCATTTCCGCTGTGTCGTTTCATGTGGGGGATGAATTGGCGACTAAAGAGTTTATTTTTTACTCGTAATTCACTCGTTCGTTCGCTCGCGCGCGCGCACACTCGGCCGCGAAGAAGACTAACGCGGCCACAATAAATAACCTCCGCGTAGGGAGGGAAGGGGATCGACAGAGTGGTTAGAGAGAATAGACAAGACGTTTTCAATATGATGTATATAAAATACACAAACGGCGCACTGAGTGTCCATTCCCGTGGGCGAAACTCGCACCAGAGTAGCAGAGCAGAGGAAATGGACGGACAGAGCAGTTTCGAGGGAGGAAAGCGAAGAGCCGCGCGGTCGTTCACTTGCACACGGTGATCCACTCCTCGACGGTGC